TAGTCTGAACTATACGTTAACTTACTGACTGAGATATGATGAAATTTGATCCCAAAATCTCAAGCAATTATACAACTCAAACGGTTTTGGGATCATATATTACCATGTCTCAATCAATAGGTTAACATCCAGTTCAAACGACCATCAATTTTTTAACGAAAAATGAAGAATTTGGAACATATGAATTGTCGGGTAATAATTTTTGTAACTTTTAATAGTCAAGGGAATCAACAAAGCAACGCCTTATAGTCGATAGATCATTTATAACTTTTAACAGTCAAGAGACTTAACAGAGAAATACCCAATAGTTGTGGAATCATTTATGTATTTTATCCTAAAAATAATTTGGAATTAAAGTTACCGACCTATTCATAAATCTCGAAAATTGCAATAACTTACTTAAAAATGTGGATTTATAAGCATATTGAAAATATAGATTTGGAATAAAATGGAATCAAATTAAAGATTATTCCTTGGGTAATGATGAGACAAAAAGACAAATGTTAGAGGGGATCTTTTCTTTGATGATGATTTTTATGTCCATCCCATTCATGTGGTCCCATATTTTGCACCCTCGTTTGTTTGCATCTATGTTTTATATGCATAATTATTTCTAGGGTAAAGTACACGAGTAGTCCCTGACTAGGATACCTCTTTATTAAGTCATTCGACTATTAAAATTTATAAAATCATCCTCTGATTATATAATGTTACTTTATTAAGTCCCTCAACTATTAATAGTTACAAAATGGTCACCGACTATTCATTATGTTCCAAACTCTTCATTTTCCGTTAAAAATTGGCGGTTGTTTAAGCTGGACGTTAACATGATGAACGAGATATGATAGTCGCTTGAGATTCTAGGATCAAATTTTATCATATAACAGTCAGTATGTCAACGTTTCGCTCAAAATATCGTCAACTTGTTAACGGAAAAGTACGAGTTTGGAACATAATGAATAGTCAGGTGACCATTTGTAACTTTTAATAGTCAAGGGACTCAACAAAGTAACATTCTATAATCGGAGGACTATTTTGTAACTTTTAATAGTTGAGAGACTTAACAAAGAAGTAATATATAGTCGGTGGACCATTTATATACTTTACCTTTATTTTTAATAGTTTGTCTTCTTCTTAAAAAAATCGATATACCTTAATTATTAAAAGGAGGAGGATGTTTTATTTTATGTTGTGATTTTAATAGATACTTATTTAAATCATTGAATATATTTAGTATCTAAACTAAGATGTATATTGCTTACTCCAAGAAGGGTTTTCCTGGATTCAAAACTTATTCAATCATGGTAAAAGGTAATTTTTGTCTTTGTAGTAGATCCAATTTATCATTTTCGTCCTTATCGTATTTTCGCATCAATTTAACACTAGAAGTTGCTCGATTGCATCATTCTATATCCTACCCCTAACTTAAAACCCTAAACCCTAAAGCATAACCCATAACCTCTTAACCATAAACCTTGAACCTTAAATCCAACTTAGGATTTATAGTTTAAGGTTTTAAGTTAGGAGTAGGGTATAGAATGATGCAATTGAGCAACTTCGAGGGTTAAATTGATGTGAAAATACGATAGGGGTGAAAATGATAAATTGAGCCTATTACAGGAGCAAAGGTGACCATTAAGCCTTTAATCGTATTTATAAGATAACATTCAACTCCCAATATTTGTAATCTATACATCTAAAGATTAATGTATTATATATTTTTTTATTAGTTTGGAGTGGTTAGAAAAATAATATCTCTTCTTTCTACAAACCCTAAACTCACCTAATAGACGCAAGTATAATCCTTTCTTCGTTCTACAAACTATGACATTATATTGCCAACTCCATCTACAGAACACAACCTTATATTTTTCTATTGTTTAATTCAAACTTCCTGTTTTTGCATACAAATTTTCATAGATGAGGGATGCAGAAGAGGACATGCAAAAGCAAATGGATCAAAATTGATTGAGTGGTGAATCAATGAAGCTTCTTTGTAAGCAATTTGGGATGTGAAAGGGTCATTTTGTAATGAAATTCAAGTTGTGGGGGAATTGGCAAACACAAAGAGAGCCACATGATCTGCTAAAAGAAAATATTAGGTACAACTTTAAGGGCTTTGATTTTGATGTTACTGCCTTCCACAAACTACAAAATTGTCCGTTTTTTAGGGTAAATTAAGTGTTTAGTATTTAAATTATCAATTTTATTTCATTTTAGTACCCATCATTAAAAACTTAACGGACGGACTAACGGGACATAGCTCCGGTGACGGATGACCAATCCGAGTGATATACCATGAGAAAATGACGAGGCAACCAACATAGTCTAGTTTCATGCTCATCGGACAGTTGACGACGAAGATCAGAGGATGAAGAAGTCGAAGAGTCTATCATCGATTTGGGAAGATTGAGACATTTTTCGGTGTAACGGAGGTTATAATCACATTCAAGGGGTAAAAAAGGTACGAGATGGAATTTTGGGCTTTATCGGCCGACGAATACGACGGTCAATGACTGTTAAATTTTTAACGGTGGGATACTACAAATGAATAAAAACTAAACGTTAGACATAATTTTGAAAAAATTGAAAGTTTAGGTATTAAAACATATCAAAATTAATAATTTATGTACTAAATACGTAATTTACCCTTGTTTTTATCTAATTTCCTTTTTTGGTGGGTTCCTCTGAGTTTCAATGTACCCGGTTTTAATATTGCATCTTCAAACATCATTGGTAAGTAAAGTAAAAAGAACAAAGTTACAAGGCAATGAAATGATGTAAAGTAATAAGATTAGGATTGATGCTACTCAATGTGTTGAACATTAAAGATTTGAATCATCTACGCCCCCCCTTTTGTCATGTATTTTTGAAAAAAATCAGTATGACCCCTGTATTATTTATTCTCTCAATGTGATCCTCCAAATCAGAAAATAAGTTTAATATGACAATTTAACTAATGTTTCTCATCGTTTGATCGTTACGGTACTGATGTGGCAATCCACTGTACTGACGTATTTGAGTTACCAATTTAGCTCATATTTCATGTTATCAACCACTGTAGATTATCACGTCAACACTGTAGACTGTCACGTCAGCACCATAGCGGTTAACGACGAAAAACATTTGTTAAAGGGTTACATTGAATTTATTTTTTGAGTTGAAGAATTGCATTGAGAGAAAAAATAATACGAGGGCTAGATTAATTTTTTTTATCTAAAATATAAGGGCCTCCGATATCTTTTTGCCAGAAGAAAAAGATGAATAAGTGGGACACGTGGCAATCCATGGAAGATATGGATTTCTGCCAGATCGCAGAAATGAAAAGGAGGGATAAACCCATCATCACAAAATCATAGCATTACAAAGTCTTACAAGCAGAACATGTTGCTGTACTCACTCATTTGGATAGCTCTAGATTCCACAAGACAAATTTACTGACTCAAACATGAATGTTACACAAGGATGTAGCAAATACCGAACCCAATGAATGATACCAGTAGTAAAAGTGAATGTTATTAGAGAATTCGAATTCGAATATCTACGTCTGCAGAGCGAGAAAGCATGGATTATCTCCATTAAACATGATATGTAACATTATTGACCTCTATGGGAAAAAGAAAGGAGAACAACAACAAAGAACTTCCCTACTACATGTAGAGAATGCAATTGTTTTTTTGCCCATTTGTACAGGACACAAATGAAAAACAACATAAACTACAAAACAAGAAGCAGAAGCCCAAAACACCAAGAAAGTTAACACAAGACAACGGCTAAAGTTCAACGATCTAACTCCCGAGAGAAAAGAAGCAAGAATGAGCAGACGACCGATAAAAATTCAAAGGGAAGAACCGAAAAATTCACCTTACGAGCATGACTATTTCGAGTTGAGCTATCCAGTTTGTGCCTTTGATATGAGGAAACATTTCCTGCCAAGCAACCATGTTACCATAAGAACCAAATCAACGTTTAGCCTTTAGACAAGTGAGACAATATCCATATATATATATATATATATATATATATAAATTCAACATTAAAACCATGAAATCCAGATCATGTAGTATGCACAAGTTTGTTTGCAGAAGAGGAAAGAGGCATGAGCTTGTTTGAATTAATATGTTGTAAAACCAGAACAAGAAATGAATGATTCACATCCTGTGAAACCAAAGCTTCAAAGGCGCGGTAGTAGTCGGATGAACCGAATACCTTCTAGATCGTCAAAGCCGGTTTAAACATATCCAGGTTCAAGTCAATGCTTCCATCCCTCCATCATCTATGTATGGTCCTAGAAATCCATTAACTGAAAACAACATAAACACACCATGCATACATCAATTTAGGCAAACAAGCACATCATAACTATGCTTTTGACAATGAACATTTACTTTACTTCGGTTCTTCCACCAATCTACAACATTAACCTTCACCAACACTTATCTTGAAGACAGCATTATGAACCAGCAATAATTGGTGAGCAAGTAACGGAGCACATTGCAAGAACATTTTTATTTTATTTGCATTCTTATGTTAACAAACATATGTATGCAAAATAAAGACAAATTCGTAGAGAACTGAGAAAACATCATCATGTACAAGGATGACAAGTTGAATCTAACTCACCATTTCCATTTAAGTCACTTCGTGTTATTGATATTTCAGCCGGCATGCCTAGCCGAGCCTTAGCTCCATGAATGGTCCTGTTCTTGATCCAGAGAACACAAAACAAGAAGAATCATAATCAACTTGCATTCAGAGGCCCTAGCATTTTGAAACAAAAAGGAGCAGCAAAACTAAATCTTTTCGGTATAACTAAAATTAAAGACACATATTTATGATTATCTATATAAGCTTGCTAATTTTAAGTGACCAAATTATAAGCATACTAAATTTGAGTGACCAGAGTGAAATTTTCTTATTATTTTTCTTGAGAGCAAACAACTACACACAATCGTCCGGTGTCTTTTATCTCCAACTTTCCCTCATCAAAGATCAATACACATAAGGAAGCTGTATACATTTACCAATACAAAGTTTTGATTTTGATTTTGAGAGTGGGTTTTCATGGAAACAGAGGTGGGATTGGATGGTTTAGGAGATTTAGCTCTCAACATAATTTTATCGAAATTAGGTCCAACTGACACCGTCTGTGTTTCATGTGTCAGCAAAAGCCTTAGACTTTCTGCTTCCGATGATTCTCTTTGGGCTCAATTTTGTTCCCAAGAGCTTCATCTTTCAATCCCTCAAGATCACCAAGGAAACCCAGTTTCTTGTTTCAAGGTATTTCAATTTAAAAACCCCATTTTTTAATCCATACATTTCATGGGCTGTTCTTCCTTTTGTTCTAAGTTTTTCTTGATTTTGTTTATTGTCCCATTGTGTTTACTTTGAATGTTTGCGTTGAATTTTGATTATGTTACTCTGTTTAATTTGCTTAAGAATTGAAAGCCTTTTAAGTGATTGAGTTCTTGTTTAGTAAAGCTTTTATCTTTGTTTTGTCTCTTTTTTTACCAGGCTGCGTATCAATTATGGAGAGAGGCTTTTGCCATGTATCCATGGCCGCTTGTTAAACGAGTTAAAAGATTTTGGGACAAGCTTAAGAAATGGTTGAGCAACAATTTCCCAGAAGCTGAGGCTACCCTTAGAAGGGGTGCATCTGAATCCGATATTCAACAATTGCAGACAATTTTGAAAGTTAAATTACCTTCTCCCACGAGGCTTCTGTATCGTTTTCACGACGGTCAAGACCTTACGGTCGAAGAGCACTGGACGGCATCATTCGGTAGCTCGTTGGGAATCATAGGTGGCTACTCTTTCTATCACCATTTGGTTAATGTCTACTTGTTGCCCATAAGTCAGGTAATAGTGGAAACTCGAGGGCTCGTTCGGCACCTAGGTTTTTCTAGCAGATCTAAGTACATTGTTGTGGCTGCTTCTTCAACTTATAGTGAAAAGCTGTTTTTCTTGAACTGTAACAATGGCCAACTTTATGTTGGTACGAAGAACCTTTTTATGGGAGGAGAAATGATTCAATGCGTCCCGAATACATTGCTTCGCTCTGTACATGATTCGCGTGATCAGCAGCAAGATGGGATGCTGCTTTGGTTAGAGGAACATGGCCGCCGCTTAGAAAAGGGCATTATCAAAGTTCGTGAAGAAGAAGATGTCCGAAGTATCAGTCTTTTTCCAGAGTTGCCTCCCTTATGTTCAACTGCTGTAACAAATGGTCTGCAGGTGAATTTTGCTCATTACCTGTTCATGTATTACCATTTTCTGGTACTTTTGTGCTTTTGAGTTCTTATTCATCAAATTTTTACATTTCCTGGTTCAGGTTCGAGCGTCTGCTGTGTTTGTTCCGGAATTTGCTGGCATGGAAGGTGAAGCCGACAAGTATCTGTATGCTTATTCAATCCGCATGTCCCTGTTGCCTGAAGGGTGCATCATTAATGGAACAACCTTCAGCTCCTGCCAACTGAATAGGAGACACTGGATCATCCGTGCTAATGAAGATATCGTATCTGATGTTAACAGAGAGGCTGTGATCGGGCAGGTAACAATGTATCGTTTTATCTTGTGCCTGATAGTGTAATTTTCAGTGGCAACTCAAACATTAATCAGTATCTTCAAATTCCATAAGAAAAATATAGTGAATGGGATTTAGCTGCGAGTAATCTTATGTCTTGCTTAAACAACCTTTTGAGTTGTTCCGTAGCTGAAGCATTACATTTATATTCCATATAGCGAACGAAATATTATGTTATAATTCTCATTCTCTCGTGTATGCTTCCAGTTTCCTGTATTGCATCAGGGTGGAGATGAATTTGTTTACGAGAGCTGTACGCACTTATTGTCCTCTTCAGGTTCCGTCGAAGGTTCTTTCACGTTTGTCCCCGGCAGGTATTCCGTTCAAACTCGCAACTACTTCGAAGAACAGTAGTTTTAAGCAATATTTACAATGTCATTTACACGAATACATTTCGTTTCCTGTCATCTTCCCTTCTGACGTAAAATTGTGCTCTACCAATTCTGGCTAGGTTGGCTGACCCGGAAGGCAGTCCGTTTGAAGTTGAAGTGGCGAGGTTCCCTCTACAGAAGCCGGATTATGTCTTTTGATAAGCTCCTGCATGGTTTGCAGACCATTGATTTGGCAGATAATAGATAATAAACATGAAAGGTGTCTTTGAACATGTGAAAACTCCATCTTATATATAAATAAAGAGAGTCAAAACAATTTATCTGGTATGATTTTCTATTACCATATTCATGAAAAAAAAAAAACAATTTACAAGTGCTGAGAAAGTTAATCAATAGTTCTCTGAATGATTCGTGGTTTTTTTAGTATAACCATGTCATGCCGATGCCGGCCTCTGCCGCCCCCGGCAAAGCGGGATCCTTAAAGGGCATCTCAGGCAATTATTCGCCAGACTGCCTCTAATCCTCACGACGGCGCTGCCGAACTCTACTGAAACGCGACCCGATAAGTAGTTATGATCTAAAAACAGGGTTCTCCATGGCCTCCCCAATCTTTGTCCATACCCCATGGGGATTTCACTTGTAAACTGATTGTGTGACAGATTACTACTAATCTCTCGAAGTTCACCAACTTGACCGGTAAATGACCTTGCAGGAGGTTCCGCTGCATGTCGAGCGTCCTCCGAAATAGTTGTTCACCTCCATTTTTGTGAACTTGTTGAAGGAGACATTTGAAGCTTTATTCTGCCATGTGGAAGTTCATTCCAGCGGCAATCCTATGGTCTTTATGGAAATTTAGAAATGATATCATCTTTAATGGAGGTAAACTGGACAGATTCGCTTTGTTTTTCACGGTTCAGCTAAGGTTAACGAAATGGTTATTAGCAAAGTATCCCAAAAGCTCTATTCTGGTGGATTCGTTAATTGTTGATCCTTCATTGGCAGACACTTTCTCAGTTATAAAAGTTTTGAACAGGCCGGTGGTTAGTTGGAGTCCTCCTCCAACTGACTTTTATAAAATGAATGTGGATGGAGTTGTTTGTACTGTTGGGAGAATTGCTGGAATTTGGGGTATTCTCAGAGACTGGAATTGGACAAAGTTGATTTATTTTTCAAAAAATGTTGGACCTACTCCTATCATCGTAGCAGAGTTGAAAGCAATCAAGATAGGAATATATTTATTTGTTTCTTCAGAATGGGAACCGAAGGGAAGGTTAATTGTGGAATCTGATTGTAAACTAGCAGTGGAATGGTTGAAAGATCAAGCAGTTGTCCCTACTTTTCTTTCTAGTCTAGTTAAAGAGATAGCTTCTACAATGTCTGTGCACGAGATTATTGTGAGGTGGATTCCGAAGTGCTGTAATTGCGAGGCTGATAAACTAGTAAAAGAGGGGATTGGGTGATGAGAATTGTTGTTTCAGCGAGTTGGGGCGTTCAGTAGTTATGATTTTTAACAGTGTGTTTAAGTTTTATGTATCTTGTAGGATTGTTTTTAAGTCTTATGTAATTCATTTGCAATCAATAAAGTCTGACACTTTTTTCCTCCTTCCACTAGTTAGTTCTTACCATATGATAAAGGACCTCTCAGAGGAAGGTTTTTAATGAGGTCATCTATTCTTATAAAAAAAAAAACAGGTCCAGAAAACCAGTTATCACTCAAATCTATGGATATTAGATGCTTGAGGTTAACTAACGATGTGATATGGCCTGTCAGTTTGTTGTGTGACAATCTTAAAGTTGTCAGCCCTGGAGGAAGCTTCGGCAAGCTTCCGATCAACATGTTCGAGTCGAGCTCGAGTATCTGCAGATTTTCCAATGCATAAAAGCTGGGGATTCTTTGTGAAAGCTCGTTGTTTGATAGGGTTAAGTGAGTCAATCTTCTTAGCTTGGAGATCCGAGCAGGGATCCGACCAGAGAGCTGGTTTCCCGACTGGTTTATCCTTTCAAGCTTCTTCAACCTGTATATCCACGTCCAGATACCGCCGGTGAAGTTACCGGAAAGAGAGATTCTGGTTAGTTTGTTGAGATTCTTTATGGTCTCCGGAACCGACCCTCTGAACCTGTTACCGATGAGTTCGAGCGTAGTGAGTGCAGTAAATGTTCCTATCCGGGGCGGCAAAAATCCATCATATCCGACGCTATCAAGCTCGAGCGCCGTTATTCTGCTCGTTGAATTGCCTTGAGGGAAAGAGCATAGAATCCCCAGGAATTTTGAACCGGAAGTCTCGCATGGATCGGCCGAGAAATCCCAAGTCGTGAGGTACGATGACGGTGGGATCATGTTCGGATCGACGGATGTCCGATTGTAACGTCAACGAATGAGACAATCCAAGAAAGAAGGATAAAAGTGCAGCAAAGATGATGACACATGAAAAAGAATCATCATCATCAAAGGAATGCATGGTTATGGACAAGATGATCATCTAAAGCTGCAGCAAAAGCAAATAACTTATAAATACTTATTCCAATGGGGTCTGTCAAGTGTCAATGGAGTTTTTGCCATGCCACCTTAAGAGATTCATTAAAGTTGGGTTGAAAGCTTGTGAAGTGATTTTATATTTTGGCATAAGTTACAAAATGATCCTCCGACTATAAAGTGTTATTTTGTTGAGTCAGTCGACTATTAAAAGTTATAAAATGAACACCCGACTATTCATTAGGTTCTAAACTAGTTTTTTTTTTGTTAAAAAGTTGGTCGTTGTCTAACCTGAACATTAATATGATAACTAAGATATAATAGTCGTTTGATATTCTAAGATCATATTTTATCATATCACAGTCAACACGTTAACGTTTAGTTTAGAATACCGTCAATTTTTAGCATTAAGAATATTTTTAGCATTATGTAATAATTTTCTTTTGAAAAACTCAAATAATTTTAAAAGAAAAATGCAAGTTTAATTAATTTTAAAGAGTTAATTGCATCATATGTCTCAATTTATGACCCTCATTTCAAATTTGTCCCTAAACTTTTAAACATTTCAATTTTATCCTTAATATATGACTATCATTCTAAATTAGTCCTTAAACTTTTGAACATTTCATTTTCATCCCCAAATTGTGATATTCATTCTAAACTGATCCCAAGCTTTTTAATATTTCAATTTCATCCTAAATTATACATATATACTAATCACATCTCTTTTTAATAAAACCATTAGTCCAAGTTATATTATTATATGTTTGGGGGGGGGGAATTAGGTTAAACTACAATTGAAATGGATTGCATATTTGAATGAATTTGGGGGATAAAATTGGAATATCTAGAAGTTTAGAGATCAATTTAGAATTTCATTCGTAGTTTAGGGATAAAATTGGAATGTTCAAAAGTTTAAGGACTAATTTAGAATAGGAGTCATAATTTGAGGATGAAATTGAAACATTTAAAAGTTTAAGGTCTGATTTAGAATGAGGGTCATAGTTTGGAACATATGATACAATTAACTCTTTTTTTTAAGGAATTGGAGGACTTTTTAATAATTATAAAAATACGCATTATGGTTCTATCGATTAAGAAGTCTTAGTAAATATGAAATATATCTCTATTAGTATTACTTATTAGGGTTACAATTAAGTTCTAAGTATTATCGAATATCTCATAAATCCTCCATAAAAATCACAACATGAAATCCAAAAAAATTTGCCCCAAGTTACGTTTGTTAATACAGGTCTGGTTCTGCAATGTATTCCGCGTCCGAATTCGTTTCGCTGGTCAAGAAGAGGCTTTGGATCAGCAAGCCGAAGCACTGTTCCTACGATCGGCTGCCAGAATCCGACACCGAGGAGGACGATGTCGATGTTGTTCTAGCTCGAAGAGCTTACGTACCGGTATACGTCGGCGAAGAGGCAAAGAGGTTCGAAGTTCCCATCAAGTATCTGTCTCGTGCTGCTTTTCAAGAACTGCTCGTCCGAACGCAAGGCGACAATGGCCTCGACGCCAAGATCGATGGGCCGATTAGGATCGCTTGCAGTTGCGAGAGGTTTAAACAAGTGTTGAAAGATGCCAAGAAGTGACTAAGGTGTTGAATCAAACAACTTCATGTTCTCTTCAGCTAATTAGATCAAACAAATAGTTACCCTCTAAATTTTTAAGTTTAACCAATCAAATATTGTTTGCTTATTATATATATATATATATATATATATGTACTTATTATAATTATTGATGAGAAAACACACAATACATACATAATATTACACGATTATAAAACAAACACGAGTCAAAACACAATACATATAAGGAAGAAGAAGAGAGAAACCCGAAACCGAAAACTCGGTACAACAATCACATGAAGTAGAGGCTTATAATATGCATATATGGCTCTAACAATTTGCATGGTGAGGAAGCTTGCACAGGTTAGGCAATTTCATGGCAAGGTTTGGGTCAATGCCGAGGGTAGGCAAGAGCTTCGAGTTCTTATACGAGCAGAGGCAACGCATGTCAGCGTGGGAAAGGGCCGAGCAACACGTCGACGTGGGCGGCGGAGGGTTCGGAGGGGTCACGGCCGGCTTGCATGCCATCAAATCTGAAGTGGGCATGTTGCATATGGTTTGAGCATCAGCAATAGCCATGACCATGACCATGACCAATGCTACTACTATAAATGCCATGCCCTTCATTTTCTCTGGTGTTTTTGATGATTTGGACAGACGAGTATGGGGATGTATGGTGCTATCCAAAGAGTGAAATTTATAGGGGGATGAATGTTGTAGTCTGTGAACCTAATTTGATTTCGATTTTGTGGGGTTTTGAGATTAATTATTGTTTCAACCAAACTGTAGTCTCACGGGATGTGAACTCGTGGCAGAGAGAGTTTTAGACGCCTTAATCATTACTCAGGATGGCGATTTAATTCAAAATTAACGGGTTTTGACCCGACTCGATTTGATATGGTCGGATATTTAAAAAAATAGATTCGGATTTGATAGAGTCAGATTTTTTAAGAGGTAAGATCGGATCGGATGGAGGATATATAATTTTCGGATGGATGAATTCAAGTGGAGGATATATATTTTCGGATCGGGTCGGGTCGACAAAAAACATGACCCTAACAAGACTCGTGGTCATCCCTACTCCTAAGTTGCCAGAGTAATTTACTTGAGTAAAGTATACAAATGTTTCTAGGATGTTTTATTATTGAGTATTCCAACAATTAAAAGTTATAAAATGATTCTTTAATTTTTGAGTGTTGTTTTGTTGAGTCTTTCGACTATTAAAAATTAAAATATGATCACTTGATTATTCATATGTTTCAAACTCGTCATTTTCAATGAAAATTTTGAAGGTCGTCTGAGCTGGCTGGACATTAACCAGCTCACTGAAATATGACAAAATCACATTTTAATGATGTCTACTGGCACCACCGTTGCTTTCGAGCACTGACTCGACGAAATAATGTAAACACATAGTCAATACACAAAATACAACTGAAAAGATTATGGGTAAGATTTTATCATTTTTCAATCAACATGAACGTCCAACTTAAACGGTCGTCAATTTTTTGACAAAAAAAAGAAGATAAATTTGGAATATATAAATAATTTGGTGACCATCTTGTAACTTTTAATAATCGAATGACTCAACAAAATAATGTCCTATAGTTAGAAAATTATTTTATAACTTTTAATAGTCAAAACACTTCACAAAGCAATATCGAGGCCATTTTCATTTGAGCATCTTATTGAGGACTAAAGTTATATGAATATTGCATATATAGTGTTCTATTTTATTGATATATTTATGAACTTCTTTTTGGTATAACTATCAATATTCACTCTATTGATCAACTAATTCAAACCGGGTATTGTAGAGGTAAGAACGACTCTCCCAACTCAATTTACTCCATTCGCAATCCAAACATTAATTGAGCTTATACAACAATCCAAACATTAATTTGAGATATGTGCTGTCATTTTCTCGTGACGAGTTTATTAAAATATTATTCTCGTTATATTCCTGAAAATATTTAAGATGGGAGAAAGCTGGTAGGATAAGAAATTTACTCGTACACACGGGCAGGACAATATCGTGACTCGGGTCCAGCATACTCGGGCAAGTTTACAGTTTCAGGAATATTCGGGTCCCTCAGGCGACGGTTATGATTTGTATTGCTCCTAAAATGGAAACAAAAAATAAGCTTACGATGAATTTTAACAGGGTTAACATGGATTCCTAGATCAAAATATATCCAAATACTTAATTTGCCATTTTGTAGTAACTTTTATTTTTCTCTCCAGAGAAAGGTATCCCTTACATTTGATGCTTCATGGTCAGGTTTCCCATGCTTAAGCGTGAACGGAGATTTTCCTTTCAGTACGTAGCTGTAAGAAGACAAAACAGTGCAACACTAACATTAGAGAGAATCGAAGTGAGCAAATGTCGCCGACAAGAAATCTTTACATAGCTACGTCCAGCAAAAGATGAAGTCTTACTGTTCCATGCACTTAAGGCTAAGCCTGGAAAAAGTCCATACTCGAAAGCCTACAAGGAATGAAACTATATTCAGAACATATAATCAAAGGCGTAAACCATAGCAGTTAGACACATAAACAAAAGGTGAAAATGAAAGAACATCGGTCTCCTAAATTTTCTCATCAACTTAACACCCAAAAGAAGTCATGAAACAGAACAAAAGCGTACGAAAGAATAGGACACGAGGAAACCACAGGAATTGAAAAGAATAAAATATGGCGAAATGGTCTACTTACAGGTCGGTAATTCCGAGCTCTATGAAGTTCCTCCCACACCCATGAATTCCTCAAAGCATCCCAACATGCTTCCGTATTGGAACCCTCATGAAGTGTGCCAAAAGTAGCTTCTGCCGCTAGCATTCCTGTAAGAAACATGCCCCGTTTTCTTTAATGTAAACTTGGTATCTTTATCGTGTGAACAAGTGGCAGCATGCAATCATATTAGTTTAAATGATCTGAATAATTCAGAATCTTGTATGTAGAAACATGCAAGAATTAGAATTCACTAATTGGGGGGAAAATCAACAATTGGTAAGGAAATATAGACCATATCACTTGGATTAATTACCTGATTTCACGGCAGTGTGAGTTCCCTTTAAAGCCAGCGGAACACCCAATTATTGCTCCTCCTGGAAAAACTGGATATGGAACACACTGAAATTTAACTAGCATCATATTCACGTATGCATAACAAGTAAAAACCAAAAAGAAATACCGAACAAACGTGTAATTCAAAGTGTGATCATAGTGGTGAATCAGCTTTCCCAGATCCTTCATCATCAATAAACCGGTAAAAGATCACATAATGGTCAGACCTGTTGTCCAATGCATTATATTTGGATACATTAAATCTACTCCAAAAACCTTATTCATAGTAGCTCACACTGCTAGCCACCTATGAAGTTCAGAAAACGGTTATTTCGAACAATTATAACTAAAGGAAGATTGCTCAACTCACCTGAAACCCACCTTCATTCAATGTCCGAGCCCCATACTGAAGCACAGTCCCACCTTCTAGTTGAGCTTTTATGGAGGGATGATGCTTGAGTTTCTGCCAGAAGAAACAAACAAAGAGAAATATGAGTGAGATTCCAAATTCTTTTATTTCGTGTTTGAGAGACTAAAAATTGAAGAGTCAAAACATCATTTTTCCATAATATCGACAGCAACCAACAAATCAGAATACCAACTAAACTATAATAGGAAAGCGAGCTAATGGTCGGGAAATCATGCCAATGTTTTATTCTCTCCCTACAATGGTTCTCTCTGTTACCACTGCCTCCTTAAGTTGGTTCCTAGCATGATATACGCCACCTTGAACAATGCTAAATCAAGAAGCAGCACGCTTTTTGGCACAAGAGGGGGTAACATGCAAGGGTAATTGTTTCTAATCTTCCAATATTTTGAAGATGTAAATTTTGTGAGTGATTTTGGTACGAGCCACCGAGTTTCTAAATAGTGAAAATTAAACAGTGACCAAGCCAGGCAAATCATTTGAAAGGTTTTGATAGAGAATCATATACATGTATATATATAATATGTTGCTTGATCCAAACAACAGCACGTGATCAATTTCTCTGATGCTTAGGCATCCATTTCAACATTGATATGACATGAAACGAGGTGCTCAAATGGGCTCAGAAAGCCATAACAACATGAAGATGATATACATTTCTGTAGATAGTGAAAAATGCATATGCACGTGCAGAATCATGTTAAAATTAGAATAGAAAATGTAGGGAATAACTAACCAACTTTAACATGCATAAACTACTTTTTTAATTAATATTCAGGAGCCGGTAAAATATATCCATGTTCTAAGTGCACACTAACAAAAAGATCAAAAATGGAAAGAAATTCATAGAACATTGTAAAAGACTTAAAATTTAGTTTACCGGGAATTCCTCATAAGGATTCAAGAAAGGGTTATGATAATTCAAGGCAACCACAAGACCAATTGAAATCTGTATACTCAACGAAAAAAAAACAAGAATAAATAAGATGGACAGAATCATTATGACGAACAATTCAATGATATTGATTTAAGACTTGAATAACAGCTATAGTGCCATAAATGTATAAACCAACAATAAATGAAGATTTGGCAACAATAGTAAGAAAATGATGCTGCACGAACTCAGATTTAGGACAGTAAGTGGGAAGAAAATAACCACAAAATGGTATTGGTTGTTTTGCTTCTGCACTGCTCCTAGAGACTACTGATTGTTTCTTGCTTCTCTATGTCACTAGGTTTCCCTACACAAATGAGCAATATCCCCTGGTTGACCTTTTATCTGTTACTTCTCCATCCCAGCTTGAATCTGAGAAGATTTTAACTGTTATGTCTTCATATTTTCTGAAAATCAACCCATGTCCTAGTGTCATCTTTAGATATCTTAAGATTTGATTAATTGCCTCCAGATGTTATTCTCTGTGATCATTCATATATTGACTAACAATACTAACAAGAAAAGCAATGTCAAGTCTAGTTAGAGATAATTAAATGAGTTTACCAACTAGCCTTTGATAATGTTCCTTGTTTACCGAGTTTCCATTTTTACTCAATTTCAAGTTAACTTCCATAGTAGTTTTCGAGGGATTACAATTAGTCATTCTAGTTTCAGAAAGTACGTCTATAATATACTTTCTTTGATTTATGACAATTCCTTCTCATGATCTCGCTACCTCCATACCTGGGAAATATCTCAGAGTTCCCAAATATTTGGTTTCAAACTCCTTTGTTAGTAATGTCTTCAACTTTACCAGTAATGATACCATCAACGTAGATAATTAATATTGATCTCTTCTTATCAGGAGTAGTTTTTACAAACAGAGTGTGATCAGATTGACACTGTTTGTAGTTATCTTGTAATATTACCTTCGTGAATCTATCAAACCAAGCTCAAGGTGATTGTTTTAGACCATATAAAGATTTCAACAATTTACATACATGGTTATTTCCAGAATGAATTCTTGGTGAAACTTGAATATAGACCTCTTCTTCAAGATTGTCATTGAGAAATGCATTTTTTACGTCTAGTTGGTGAAGTATTCAATCCTTGTTCACTTCCAAGGATAATAAAACTCGAGCAATGTTGAGTTTTGCAATTGGAGCAAAGGTCTCTTGATAGTCAACTCAATGAGTCTAAGTGAACCCTTTTGCCACAAGTCTAGCCTTATATCTCTCAATTTTTTTCCATCTGCCTTGAATTTCACAGTAAAGACCCATTTGCAGCCGACTGGTTTCTTGTCTTTAGGTAGATCAACGATGACCCATGTCTTGTTGTTTTCTAGAACTGAAATTTCTTCTTCAACTGTCTTCTTCCACTCATGACTTTTTAATGCATCCTCTATGGTCTCTATAATGTGAATATGATCAACCTGATATGTGAAAGTGTTTAAACCAGACATTAGTTTCCCATAAGCAACAAATTTACTAATAGGATGAGTCGTACATCATCTAACTCCCTTCCTTTGAGTAATTGGTAACTCACTAGTATCAATTACCACATCCAACTTACTTTGGTTACCATCTCCTCTGTTTGTCGATGGATTTAAACCCGGTTCTGGCTCTTGACAATGCATTGGTTGCGGTGTGGAAGATAGAGCTTATTTGTGTTGTCTTTTGTAGGTGAGAAATGTTGGCCTCTGATACCATGTAAAATAGGGTTTTATGATGAAGGCAATAAGTTCTTTTTTCAAAGAAAAAATTTCATATTACACAGTAAGATTCATAAGATTTTTATACACATTAATTAGAAACCTAGATAAGATAAGAGTCATATTTTCTATAAATTAAGAGATAATTTTCATCCAAAAAAAATGTTTAAGGCTACACGATTTTTAGTTCGGGAATCTAGGGACGTGACATATATATATATATATATATATATATATATGCTTACATGTACAGGCTTCACTGGAACTGACGTGCCAAACTCATCCTAGTTTGTCCTCTTCTGTCTGGGTTTGGTTGTACTTGTAATCAAAATCATTGCATACTTTTTTCTATAAGATTAAAATACGTTTCAAATTATTCAATTATAAATTAATTATTTGATTTTAAAATAATATAATTCAAATAAATTATTATTTAATTAACTTATATTATATATAATTAGTGGATTAAAAATTTAATGTTTATTTTCTTTATCACTGGTTTTTTTATAACTATATATATAATTAGTGGATTAAAATTTTAAATTAATTAATACTTTTAAATTGTTATTTACTTATGTGAATGTCTATTTTTATCTATAAGATAAGATTTAGATGTATATTATTATTAGATTTTTAATATAAGTTAGTGTTATATTTATATATTATATCTACGATTATAAATATAAAGATTAAGAAAAGAATTGTATACAGTTTATATTAAAATAATAATATAATTCTCTTTCTATTGTCATATTTGTTGTTGTTGTTATTCTTGTTTTTCCGTTTTTTCTTATTTCACAACATAAATTTTGTAGGTTTATAAATATATTTATGGATACATAACTTAAAGTGTATTTTACTTAAAAATATTATATGATTTTAAAAATATTAATAAAATAATATAAATAAAGTGATATCGATAATAAAAAATTATTATTATTTCTTAAAATTTCAGATTCAAACATTATAAATATTAATAGTGTCAGCGTTTAAATGTCAATTGATTAGAAATTATTTTAATTATGTTGTCTTACACTTGTTAAATTAATAAAAAAAATAGTTTTCTAAACGTTTTCTCTACGTTTATATCGTTAAACCAACGACGGTCTGGCCATCTAGATGACCGGTCGGTCGGTTTTTGAAAACCAATGAAGCAAGCAAACCAAATTGCCTTCAAAAGAAGCACAGATTATATAGAGAAGTAAAAAGAAAGCTACCCTTTGGAACTTTCCTCTGTTTGATTAAAAAAAACCCTAATTCATTATCTATGACCTCAATTCTTTGAGTAATTAGGGTTTTCTTTTCACTCTTCTTTACCTTTAAGCTCCTTCGTCCTCCCTCCAATTCAAGGTTAGATTTTTTTTTATAAAAAATGTTCTCTTCGCCAGCTTAATTGTTGTGATTCAGACTTTTTTTTTATTGTTTTGCTCAATTAAACCTAAAAGAGGAATTTTTTTGGTTTGTCTTTGTGGGTTTGTTGAACTTTTTTTTATGTATCTACATTTTTTGTTCTGTTCTATAGTTCAAGAATCACTAATTTTTCTTGGAAATAGATAATTGTTATACTTATCGAGAAAATTTAAAAGAAAATATGATTTCCCAAAAGGGTTCTCGGTGTTCCATGTGAAAAACGGATGCTTAAGGAGATACTTAGCGGTTCTGTTGGACTTTTGCAAATTTTTGTGTACTTTTGTTTATCTCTATATGTGTATGGTTAGAAGTTCCGTTTTTCGATCCGGGTTTTGAATTGATCGAGGCGGAAACTATCGCAATCAATTGACCTCCTCTTTGAGGTCTCTAGTGTTGTCTTGCAAGGTCTCTAGTTGTTGTTTTGCTGTATATCTTCATAAGGTAATAAAAGGACATCAATGGGATAACTAGGCAACCTAGCTAGTTCGTCAGTAGATCGATAATCGGCTTTGGCTTATCCCTGGAGCTTATAAAGACATATGAAGAGGCCGGACATTATGTAACATATTAGAGACTTGGATTAGATTAGATTTTATGTGGGATTGTAGCTTTTGAGGAACTTGTTCCATAGGATGTTTGTCTTGTTTCCGAGTTTATTTGGCTTTGTATTGAATTGTCATGTTTTTGTAGTGCCATTAGGACAGCGCTAGTCATTTTTTTTCCAATCGATCATATTATATAATCTGGGCTTAGTTCATGATGATGTACCCTGTTACTTCGTCACCAATGTTGCAGATTTTATTTTCTTTCCGATATGGAAGGGTGTAATATTAAGTTGCTAATTCAATTTGTTGTGTATTAATTTTATATCCCGCTGGGATTTATTGTATGTTTATTCCAGCAGGACACATGGCTAGCGGTGAGGATGGCAAGGAACCAGAATGGGTAGAGAGAGTACGATCAGAGGGACCTGTTCCACTACTTGAACCAGATAACTGTCCGAATGGTTGGGCATGTCCACCCGGGGATAACTTCATGGTAAGGGGTCCGGAGTACTTCACAAACAAGGTTAAAATTCCTGGTGGTAAATATCTGCTTAAGTCTCTTGGTTTTGACTGGATTAGAACTTCGACAAAGCTCTGTGATCTCTTGAGCCATCGTAAAAATCGTGTTATAAAGGTTATTGATGAAGCCTTTACAATAGGTGATAAGCCTTTTATTTGGGCATTTAATCTTCAGCTCCCAACTAAGGACAGCTATAGTGCTGTAGCTTATTTTGTAACCACTGAACCTATTCCAGAGGGTTCTTTGATGTACCAGTTCTTGAAAGGTGATGACGCATTCAGAAATTCAAGGCTAAAATTGATCGCTAACATTGTCAAAGGGCCATGGATCGTTAGAAAAGCAGTTGGGGAGCAAGCAATATGCGTCATTGGACGAGCCCTTTCTTGCAAGTATTGTATAACTGAGAATTTTTGTGAAGTTGATATTGATATTGGATCTTCAATGATTGCAAGTGCTATTGTTCACCTGGCGTTTGGTTATATCACAACTCTGACAGTTGACCTAGCTTTTCTTATTGAGAGTCAGACTGAAACAGAGCTTCCCGAACGGCTCTTAGGTGGTGTACGGTTCTCTGAACTGAAACCCGATTCTGCTGAGTTTATTGAACCGTCGTCTTACGGGAGCAGTGAGAATTTGCAAGCATCACTGCCAACACGGTTATGGAAGTCACTTGGACAGGGATTTTCTCAGCTTATTCATCCAGGAGCTCAAGAAAGTGGCTCGGTCTCTACTTCAACAACCCAAGTTAATGGCGCTGCTGGTCATGACGAAAGTGATGGAGATGTTAAGAAATGGTAAGCTTCCACATTGCTCACACTTACATATCCATCATAATGAATCCCCTGCTTCTCCCATCACTTTTTCCTTGTATTTTTTTTTCCGGCATGTTCCTTTCATTTTTTATACCTTCTCATTTCAATTGGTCAAATATGTTTTGTGCTATGTTTCGAAGTTTGGTGGTAAAATAGTCAATGGCCATATAGTTTGAGTTTTCATTTTTGTTGAAATTCCCATGCCCGATTTTCATGTCTGATCATATCCGGACATGGATACGAAGATATGATCTTTTAAACGGTCCTTTGAATAAGTGAGAAACGTAGAATAAGTTCAGCGAGCACATCCTGAATACACATACACATCTTTTAAAGTAAAACGCTATTCAAATTTCAAACTACCAAGTTGAATGTAAAAATTTGGATAAGTTAAACTCTTTAGTTTGTGAACATCAAAGTGTTTAACTAATCCAAGTTGTCACATTCAAAGACGGAAGTTTGAATAGTGTTGTACTGCTTAAACTTATCCAAGTTCTTACATTCAAAGATGGAAGTTGAATAGCGTTTTAATGTCTAAACTTATCCAAATTGTTACATTCAAAGATGAATGTCTTATCCAAGTTGGATAAGTTAAACATTACAACGCTATTCAACTTCAACAATTCATGAGTGAATCTTACATATGTGAAAGAGACTGTACTAAATAAGACCCTTGTTTAGAGGACTGTAAGGTTAAGAAACTGTTGGAAATTTTTGCAGATTAATTAGATGGTCATGATCGAACAATTGTACACATTGCTGCTTCGCAGAAGCTTCGATTTTAATCGTTTGCAGATTCCATCGTTTGCAAGCATTTGGTGACACGTGGCTGAATCATTTACAGAATCTATTTATTAGTATTTTGTAATATTTATTTTCAATCTCTTTCAGTTTATAGTAAATTAACCACAAATAATGTGTACCAATATTACTGTCATATATCACCTTTATTTCCCCTACCTTTTATTAATGATGTGTTCTTGTAATTCATGCATACAAGCCATATGGAGTGATGGAGTGAGAGATCGACTAATACATGCATGCATCACACATGCAATTGAGGATAAACTACACAGTAGGCCTTCCAACTATAAAAGGATTCATTTTAGTCACTCAAGGTAAATTTCACTAGTGACGTGTCACCATGTGATTAATCTAATTTTTAGAAGGAAATAAAATGAAAAAAGTTGCGTCAATGTTGGATTTTGAACCCTAGTTTTCTGGTAAATAAGTGAAATATTGATGCCAAGAGATTAGGGATGGGGGATGGTGGGTTATTATTATTTTTTGAGATGGTAGATTATTATTATTCTGGTAAATATGGTCAATGTATTATTTTCTCTCAATATGATTCTTTAATTCAAAAATTAAACTCAATGTTGTCCTCTAACTCAAAAAATAAATTCAATGTGACCCTTTGACTAAATTTTTTTTGTCGTTGATCACTGTAGTATTGATGTGACAGTTCACGGTATTGTCATGATAGTCTATAGTGCTAACATGGTAGTCCAAGGAGGCAGATTAACATTGTGGATGGCATGATAGATTGATAAATCAATCATGCATCGGGACCACCATGTCAGCATTATAAACTGTCACACTAGTATTGTAATGGTTAACGACGAAAAACGTTAGTCAAATGGTCATATTGGATTTGTTTTCTGAATTGGAGGACCACATTGAGAGAGAAAATAATACAAGGGTCACAATGGTTTTTTTTTCAAAAGTACATGGACATCTGATACTTTTTGCCTATTTTTTTTATTAAGTTATGGTAATTATAAAGTAATATATATTCTAAATATTCTCGATAATTTATTGAACCCAAGATCTTTAGGAATAACAAACATTCTTTTAATCATTGAAGTAATTTGGCTCGTGATATTATTTAGGAAATTGGGATTGTTATATGCATGAAAAAGTTAGGCGACTTAGGGCATGTCATCGGGTAATGAATAAGAGGTGAGAGCCATGCAATTCGGTGGGAGAAGGAAAAAAAAGGGCAAATTCTCATGCAGGGACTCATTCTTAACACATTTCACTTAGTCATCCAATACCATCCACTAATGAATTCTGGCACAATTACAATTTAAGAAATTTTCAAGTCCATCCTTTTCATTCGGATGTCAGCATTCGTTAAGAAATTTAATTGTCAATTGATTAAAAGATAAATCAATGACCAAAATGAAAGTGTTCTAAAAGTTGGGCAACCAACTAAGTAGTTTATCGTTAATGCTATTAGGGTTTTAACGTTCGGGTGACCAGAACGAACAACTTCTCTAACAACAGAGATCAAATTGAGAGGACACTTTCAGTGACGAAAAAGAAATCGATTTAAAAGTTGAGTGAAAATTTCGAGAATTTATCCTGAAATTTAAGGTTTAAAATTAAGGTTCAAATTGATAAAAAAATTTGAACTACTTAAATATGTTTAAGTTGCCGTTTTTTTGTAATAACAAGGAAGTTGTAGTACTCGCCCTGTTCTTCATAGATCATAACAAGGACGGCTAAAAAATATTAAAAAAACATTCATTTTGATCCTTCCAAGAGCCTTCGTGATATATAAATAGGGTTGCAATTCTTATAATTAAGCAAAGCCAAGGCCATTAGCAGAGAAACTAAAGATACTTTGAGGAGGGAAAATGGCAAAATCCACCACCAAACTTTCAATGTATCTCAAATTAGTCCTTTTCACCTCTCTTCTTCTAACCCTAAACATGGCGGAAAGTGGATTTTTTCTATGTAAGTTTTTCGATTCCGAATCTCGTTTAAATTATACATAAGATGAACGAATCGAGTATCTACAAACATTATATTTCGAAATGAATTTATTCGGAGGTATTAAGGTTTTATTCAAAAATGAATTTATTCGAAATGTTTGAGAGTCTTATAATAATCTCATTTGGTTTCTTGAAATAGAAACAAAATTGTTTTGTGCGTCAACGTATTTGGTTATGTAGTTTGGCTGTAAATAAGACGAGACATATCGTAAGTTATTTAAGTTCAGTTCGATCAAAATTTGGTCAACATTTAATTCGAATGGACTCGACTCGAGTTCTTAACAACCGAAACGAGTTATTGGAATCTATCTCGAAAAGCTCTCAAGTAACTCAAAAATTTAATATATTAAACTTTTATTTTTTAAAATTAAGAATATTAACATTTATATGTTATTTTTAAATAAAATACAATATAAGATTTTATTGTACTTAAGGTTCTAGTTTGAGCCAAAGTTCCAACTTGAACCAAACTTTAGTTTCAGCTTCAATTGAATTAAGTTGGAGAATATTTCGAGTTCAAGTTTTTCCGAGCTCGAGTCGAACTTTAATTTTTAATTTCAAATTTGAGTCGATCTTGATAATTTTAAACTCATGAGCTTTCGAGTCGAGTCAAACTCAACTTTAAACTTTTCAAATTGAGTCAAACTCGACAATACTAGAGCTTGATTCAACTCATTTACGGGCTTTACTCACTCGAAACTGATAATGTATTGCAGCTGAGCATGTAGAGGGCAAACTTTTGAAACCAACATGTGTGTCGATTTACGGGCAACAAGAAGGAGACACTTGCTTTAGCATCTCCCAAGCATTCAATTTGACCATTGGTTCCTTCTTGCAACTCAATCCAAACCTTAACTGCGACAAAATCTTTGTCGGCGAATGGCTCTGCGTCCAGGGTTTGCCCTTCTAATTTCATTTGGAAGGGAAATTATATCGAGGGTTAGTGTCGATATGACTTCATACTTCGAATTTTAGTAATACGATCACGTAATTATTTAAGTGGTTTCAATGGAGTCAGTTGTTGTTAAAAACAGACGACGTAACTGATATGATTGTTGTTATTGGCTAACTATGAGTCAGAGGTCCACATCAGCTAAATCGTTTGTTTTTAACTAAGAGTGACTATATTCAAACTACTTAAACAATTATCTGATCATATTGTCAGAATTGGAAGTACGGTATCATATTGACACCAACCTCATAGTTAAGTGGTCATTTGAGTAATTTTTCCTTTTATTAAAATATGCATGATCTTTCAATAAAAAGTGTCCATTCAACCATGGAACAAAACATGCTTGGTGCTGATGTTCAACCATGTTTGATACATTTCCATGTTATTGTAAGTGGGTACTATGCAATGTATCCAATTTATGGTTTATGTGAAATTTCTTTTTCTACTCATATTACTCACTTTTTTAATGTTTAAAAAAATATATTTGGACCCAACTATAAAAATAATTGAGATATAAGATTAATGGTCAAAGACAAATGTACCTAATATAGATGTTCAAGTCTCTCGAAGGCACGAACCGAGCGATCTCAGTGGTAAAAAAACAGTTGTTATTCTTTGAGGTTTCGGGTAAAATCACCAGAAATGTTAAGGGTGTGAGTGTTCAAGGTCAAATGGTTTAGAGTTATTTTTTAATAGATGTTGCCTTTACTTACCCCAAATTAATAAAAAAAAGTCTCTTTGAGGATTCAAAATGAATTTAAATTTGCAATATAATTTTTTCGGCATAATGTCAAAATCATCCTTCCAACGTTTATCAAAATGGTTATTTTGACTTTTTTTGACTATTTGGATCATTAACGTTTTATTTGAGACAAAAAGATCCGTTCATGGATGAAAATTTTTAGTTAACAAACGATTACAGAATATGAGCATTTTTATCCTAAAATAAAATGTTATAGGCTAAAATGATAAATAAAAAAAAGAATAAGGGTCAAACTGACTATTCGATCAAATATTTTAGTAAACTTTGATGATAAAATATTCTAAAAATAAGACTTAAAATAATCATTTTAGTAAACGTTTGGAGATCAATTTTAATCATCCCGAATATAGTAAGTAAACATTAAAAGAATGTAATTTTGATTATAACTCTTTTAATCGATATTTAATTCGGAATAATTAAATAAGAGTTTAAATAAACTTTATAGATTGTAATTCAGATTATAAGTCTTTAATGGATATTTAATTTGAATTAATTAAAATAAGATTTTTTAATTAATTCGAAATAACTTAAAATCCCTAATGCGTTAGGATAACTCATATATATTTAAAAGTGTGAGGTAAGGTCTAGCAGCCACTTCTTATTAACTCGTTTTTTCTCAAAACTATTTTTGGGAAAAGTAAATTTTGCTCTCAATCGGTTGAACTAAGTAGAGGCTGAGACGTGTTTTTGTGGAGGCTTATGATTTGAACTGTTCGTGATCACCATTAATCATTTTTGTCTTCGCTATTTTTCAAGGAACCCATTGTAAGTATTCACATCCTTTCCTCTTGATTTCGGTTTATTGTACTTGGATCGCTAATGAAACCGTCGAGTTTTGTTTCCGCTGCGCCATGGGGTAAACCGACGTTCCCAACAATAAAAACATCATGACCTCTGCAAATCGGGTGGGTTGAAGAAACATCATCAAATAACTGAGCCAAGAGCCAGCGGACACAAGTTGAACCATGAGTGCGCATCAGTCAGGAGATTTGCACGTTGGAGAATGGAGTAAGCATCCGGAAAGTCTTTAAGAGCATGCAAGACCGTTTCCAAGTAACCACCGCAGAAGGGACATAGCTAAATTGAGAGATTTAAATTTTGATGTTTGTAAAATCGATCAATCTGGATTGAAAGGATTATTCTTACATTAGACCTATGTAATATTTAATCCGAATTAATTAATTAATAAATAAATCAAATATCAATAAATATAAAATATACAGTAAAAATGAACGTGTACCAGTGGTTAAGGAGGGTGTTGCTCTTCCTATAAATCCCGCATTCGAATAGTGACGTCTGTAAAATGTACCTATGCTGATAAAAATATTCAGTCCACCAAACTTGAACATTTGAGTCATTATTAATTAAACAATGATTCCCAAAATATATTATTATTGACGGGAATATATTTGTCTCGACAGTTATCGATAGTTCATCTGTTTCGATTTAGATTAAGAGTCGTAATCGATTGAGATTTAATTATTGACTGATATTTCTTTGTGAGGGAATAAAAAACATATAGGAGAATATATATAATAATTTATTTTTTAACATAATAAACTTAAGATTAAATTAGAATTGAATCAAAATATTTCGACTTAATCGAGTTAATGACTTCTATTTTATCATGCAAAATTTATTTGATATTTTCTTTAGTTAAGTCAAATCTAGTTATTCGAGTTTTTTAAAATTATTTATAACATTATCGTATAAATTGATTCTAATTTATCAACTTTCTCTTACCATATAATATGAACATTAGAAATGACAACTTAACTTGAAACCGATAGATTTCGACCCGATCCAACTCGATAGGATATGATTTTTTTTAAATCAAGTTCGGGTCGTGTCGGGTCAGATTTTATATAGAAGTGAGGTTGGGTCGAGTCAGGATCGAGTAGAGGGTAAAATATCTCCGACCTGACCCGGGAGTAATAGTGTAATTTTTCTTATAAATTTATGGATAATTGCTATAATAATTATCTCTCTCTATAGTTCCTTTTTAATTAGATCTTTATTTATATCGAATTGGATCGGATCGAGTTGAATTTATATACTAAAAACTTGAATAAAATCAAGTTTAGGTGGAGGAAATATGCTCTTTGAGTCGGATCAGATATGTGTGGATGATATATATATATTTCGGGTCAGATTGGATTGACTAAAAGCCCGACTCGAACCGTTGTCATCCCCAATAAACATATTCATTTCTTAATATTCTTTTCCTTATTGTAATGTTATCTAATAAAGTAAATAAAGTAAATATTATCTAAAATAATAAAACATTTATAATATTATTTTTTTAAATATATTTTGAAGATAAAACATTGATAGGAGAAGAATTTAGTCAATCTTAATAAAGTAAATATAATCTAAAACAATAAAACATTTATAATATTATTATTTTTTAAATGTATTTTGAAGATAAAGCATTGATAGGAGAAGAATTTAGTAAAAAAGTTAATGGGAATAAATAATTAAAAAAGTTATAATTAAAAGATCAAATTGAATAAAACGTAAAGTTAAGAGGTTAAATTAAAAATAAATTTATTGTGAAAAATATAAATTAAAGCTATATATGTATTATGTATGTGTCATAGGAGCATGTGGTTTAAATTTAATCGAAAATTAACATAAATTAAAAGATAAATTGAAGAAATAAGAAAAATATGTTAAAATTAAATGACCGAGTTTAAAGAGAGAGAGAAAATTTGATTTCATAAAAGAAGAATTGAATTTACATATATATTGTACAATAGTTTATGAGTATGTGTTTCAAATTTTGTCAAAAGATAAATATAAAATGACGGATAAATTGAAAAATGAGAAAAATTAGAGACCGAATTGCGAAACTACCAAATTATTTAGCTAAATTTTCAATTGTTCAAGCTTTACAAATTCAAACTTGATTCGAACTCAAAATTCGAGTTGACCTAAATAACACAAACAACTCAACTCAAATAATTCAAAATTAAAACAGAATCAATTTTTTTGAATCGAATCATTTTTTTCACCCCACACATAATAACCTAAATAATGAATAATTAATAATTCTAACTAATTTATATAAAAATAACAATAGAAAAATAGAAAATCAAATTGCTAAATTGAAGCATATGTACTAAATTTATTTTAGCATACTAGAGGTACATGTTGTGAGAGAGTTGTGATTAAAATCTAGGGTGACCTATATATTTAGTACCTAAACTTTTAATTTATTCAAAATTACACTTAACATTTAATTTTTGTTTCATTTAAGTATTTGTTGTTAAAAATTTAACGCGTTTAGTACCTAAACTATCAACTTTGATCCATTTTAGTACCTAAACTTAAAAAAAAAATCAAAACTTTGCTTCTAAAATGAAACAAAAGCTAACTTTAGGTATGCTTTTGTAAAATTTGAAGGTTTATATACTAAAACGGATCAGAACTGATAGTTTATGTACTAACGTGTAATTTACCCTAAAATCTATATCACTGGGATTAGAAGAACATCGGATATGATTATATGTTCAACATATATACATATACATATATAATTTTTGCAAGTTTTTTCAAGTATTTAGACTTTAGAGAGTTCTTGAGGGTCATATCCTCGTACTCATGCCCGCCCGAACATTTTCGGGTACACGAATTCTAAACAAACAAGCCCGAACATGTTTCGGGTACACGAACTCTAAACAAACAAGCAATGGAAGAAAAGATTAACATAAATTTTGCATTTACAGACTATTCTTACAACTACAAAGCAAATATGGTGAGAAAATTATGGCTCAAATCGGTCATCAAGAAACTTGGAGGAAACAATATATTACCTATCATATGCAACACATTTTTCTTCAACCAAAGATCGAAATCAGGTTCACTTATGAGTAAGGTGAGGTTGCTTTAAGCCGAGATATGAACCGTAATCATCTCCACATTTGGTGATATAATTAACCAATCTCTTCGATAACGACGTCCACGGTTCGAGAATCAGCTGAAATGGAAACAAAACTTTCAACAGAGAAGAACAATGGCTGGATCCTGGAAGTAGCTATAATGAAATCAAGATCACCTTAGAAAATGAGTGGTCTTAGTCTTCAGATTCAAGCTCCCTCAGATTGTTGGACACCGAATTAACTTTTAAGGATAGGCGCCGAGTGTGCTCTCCGATATAATTCAAAACCATCTGAAGCTGTTCTTGGTAAGCAGCAGATTTCTTTTTCTCGCGATGCAGCTCAGCGGACAGTTCTCGAATCTTAAGATCTTTTTCATCCTGCAAATCAGAAGCTAATGCATGTAAGGGCAACCCATTGGAGTAGTATTTATAAACAAATACTGTTAACGAGCACGAAAGGGCATAGATAACCCTAGTGCAAGCTTGAACAAGACAATATTCTCCAACATGTCTTACATTCAAAAGGTTCCCCCTTTTTCGTGCGAAAGGTTCCGAAATTATGCATCTATGGTGTCATACAGAAAGTAAATATAAAAGTATTTATATTTGGTTGTAGAACAAAATTAATGTCATATCAGGCAACAAGTTGTTATCATCTATATGAATCATTAAAATGAAATACTAACATACCTCACAAAATGCAATCCGATGCGACCATCGAGGCGGTATTTTGCTCGGATTCAGTTCATGATTATGTTCTTTAATAAAACCATAGATAACCCATTTCCCCCCATCCTTTGCGGCTATTCTCAGCATTGCATTACATCCCTCTCTCGTCGCAGGCCTTGATTGGGAGACTCGGGTTTCTTTCTTTGTACATTTTTCCGCACGGAAACCTTCTTTCGAGCAAACAAAACTCTCGACCGATTATCGAATTATCCTTGAGTGAACGACGTGTACGATTGTTCCGAATGGTGAAGCCCATGCGTCGACCATACATTTCGTACAGCTCCCTTGCATCCTCCGCAGACTCAAACTCCATACCGATATGTGGTGCTGTACGTAAATGTTGATCCAACATGTTAATCGAATTACCATTTTCATCGAGATTACGATCTGATAACTCATCATCAAGCATTTCATGGCCGTCAAATGTTTCGGTCAACCATCGTCGATAATTCCGGTTCCAATTAAACTCTGTATTTGAGGTGCTAGCCATCACAAAGCTATCAGAAACCAAGTCAAGATCAGTAAAAAAAGAAGGGTAAATTATGCATTTAGTACCTAAACGATATGTTCTAATCCATTTTAGTACCTAAACTTTTAATTTTTTCAAAACTATACCTAAAGTTTAGTTTTTGTTTCATTTTAGTATCACGTTCAAAATTTAACGTTAAGTTTAGAAAATATTGAAAGTTTAGGTACTAAAATGGACTAAAAATGATAGCTTAAGTACTAAACACGTTAAGTTATTAACAGCGCGGTACTAAAATGAAATAAAAATTAAACATTAGGTATGATTTCGAAAAAATTAAAAGTTTAGGTCTTAAAATGGATTCAAACAGATAGTTTAGGTACTAAATATTACTAAAAAAGAAACAGAGAGCCCCAAATCAACGAACAATCCAACTTTTCTATCGAGAAAAGTGGCACTGGCTAACAGTGACTAATAATCAACAAGCCTAGATTCATCCAGAAAATGGAATTACACAGAACCTCTTAATAATTTCACTAATTTGATCTAAACAACAAAAGGCACAAACCTAAATCTCCCCACATTTGCAAATATGAGAGCCAAGAATTTCCCAGGAGAGAAAAAAAGCTTGATTTTTGTTCTAATTACTCAATAAAGTATGTAAAAGAAACCCAGAATGTATCAACTTTCAGCCTTAATCGTTGAAATACCAAAAACCCAACGAGAAAAAAAAGCAAAAATTCAGATAAAATGGGTATTAAAGGGAAGTAAATCAGTGATAGGAGATAGAGAAATTTACCTGGTTCTTCTGATAATGTGAGAGTTTCGATGAAAAGAAAGCTTCAGACAGTTTCAATGGCGGCGGGTACAGCCATCCACCATTAAAACGAAGCGGTCAGTGTTTTTTCTCTGAGTTTCCAAATTCAGAACCGGGTGACATGGAAGAAAATGACTAACCGGGAAGCAACAATAATCTCAATTCCACCTGGTTGCTGAATGAACTTAACGGTTCGAATTTGATTCCGTTAAAATTTTATAAAAACTTCAATTCTAATGAACTTAAAGAGTTAAGTCTAAACAAAGTCCAACCGATAGGTTTCAAAAGATTATTTAACTTTTTATAATTTTTTAATAATTATTTTAAAAAATTATTTAATTCAAAATTTTTTTAATTTATTATTATAACAAAAAGATGATAAATAATTAATCTATTAACTTTTTAATAAATAATAAAAATATTAAATTAATAATTAATAATTATTATTTTACTATAAAAAATAAATCCTAATTATTATTTTAATGTATCTGTAGATTATTATTTTGGAGTTTAAAATTTTAATTTGTTTCATATTCTTTCAATAATTTTTTGGTTAAAAATTTATGTTATATTAAACTTTATATAGTATTAATATATTTTATCTATAGTTAAAAGATAAGATAAAAATTTCGGTGAGCTTAACGAGCAACGAGTTTAATTAGTACGAGTTGAGCAACGAGCATGAACCGAATAAAATTTTAATGAACTTAACGAACAACAAATTGAATTGAGCAATAAATTTTTTAACAAGTACTACCCAACTCGAGATATGGCTCTAATTATACCTAATTAATTAATTATGGCTTTGCGTTAGTTTTATTCATAATTAATATATACTACCGACTCGCATTAATATTCGTTAAACCTATTAAATGAAAGGATAAATTACAGGAATGATCCCACTTGCCTTTTGCCTTTTATATTTATAAAGGTTTACTCACCAAATTTAAATTTTTTATGATTTAGTCACTTTTGTCATTATTTTATTAAAATTTAGTCACTAAACATTGAATACCGTTAGTTCGGTAATATGACATGTTAGCAAAATGGATTGATTTTTATTTTAATCCATAAACTTTAGATAAATTATTAATTATAAGTCTATTTATAAATCTAAAACAGTTTAGGAACAAATTTTGAATTTTCACCTTTGCTGACATCTCTCTCTCCACTCCATCTTTGCTAATACTCACACAAGAATTTGAGCAACATGGGCGTTCGGTATATTATAAAATAAGGGTAAATTACGTTAAATTATTAATTTTAGTCTGTTTTAGTACATAAACTTTCAATTTTTTCAAAATCATACCTAAAGTTTAATTTTTATTTTATTTTAGTATTGCGTTCAAAATTTAACGTTTTGAAAAAAATTGAAAGTTTAAGTACTAAAATAGACCAAAACCGATAGTTTAAGTATAAAAATAACAATTCTCTAATACTCTATAGCTTAGCAACCACCAAACTAATCATTACCATCAATAAAAGGAGAGATTTCATGAACTGATGAAGAAACAGTAAAAGATAAAGATGGCACAAGTACACATACATGAAAAAAAATGTGGAGGAAGCTATCAACCGCTTAAAAGCTCCTTTGCCCCAGCATCAAGCTTTTTCAAATTGTCCAAAGTTCTTTGAACTTTCATTGACATGTCATAGTTGTGATCTTCAACCTCTTTCACAGATGCTACTAGCTGCTCGCGATAGGATGCACTTAACCGCTTCTTAATCCGCAATTCCGCCATTAACTCCTGGATTTTCTTGTCCTTCTCCTCGTCCTGTAATTCCGGCGAGAGAGTCGATAACAATAATAATCAGAAGAAAGGATCTGAGAGCAGAAATAGTAAGATCATATAATTTTGATGATGTCATGAAACCAGTCATCTCCTGCCTAAAAACTGCAATCAAAGATCATCATCTAATAAATATGTAATCATATAAACCAGCCTTTATCCAAGAAATGAACTAAATATTTGGGTTGATGTGTTACAACAATACCATGAATTGTTTATGGTCTCCTAAAGCAGCAGATACACAAATGGAACTTTTAGGTCCAAGTTATCACAAAGAAACAACTCATTGACCGTAAATATTGCACTGCCTTTGTAGCTACATTCGCCTGACCCGATTCCTCACAGATAAAAGTATCAAGAAAAAGAGGTAGAAGAATACGGATAAGACGATCTACGGAATCTTACAAGAAAAGAAAAACAACTCTAATGAGAGTAGTTGAGTACTACTAGGAAGAAAAGGATAAGAAATGAGCATATAATGACAGTAAATAAGCACCCTAATGATAAACACAAGTTACAGTGTTCCTTCCTACATAAATTATTGGTAAATTTCTAACCCACAAAATCGAGGAACATATCAGTCCAACGGTAAAGAACAATAAAACTACTCTTGGATGATTGTGATCAAATTTGTTCCAGCAGGCTCATTTGGCGAGTAATTAACCGATGAATAAAAAGCTTAACACTGTTTTGTGGCTTTCTTCCACCAAGAGGAATTATGAGTTTGGTAAGAAGTAAAGTTAAGAGCTTATAAAGACAACTTAAAAAAAATACTAAATCTGATTAAACGACAAATAATATCATAATAGAACATACAATATCCATACTCTACTTTAAGAATAATTTAGAATGTATTTTTAAAGGCTAATTATTATCCAAATATATTTTCGATTCAAATTTGATCATCTTCCGCTACTTGTTCTTAGGGTCATTTTATATAACATTTTTCATTCAACAATAAAAATGCTTGTATCTTCTTCTTCCATAAAAAAATAAATAAACTTCAACAGCAAATTTACTTAAGATAATGACAAAAATGCATCAGATGTCCCTGTACTTTCAAAAAAAACTTATGTGGCCCTCGTATTATTTTTTCTCTCAATGTAGCCATCCAACTCAGAAAACAAATCCAGTGTGGCCTTTTACCTAAGATAAAAAAAAATAATACAAGGACCACATTAATCTTTTTAAGTACAAAGACCATGCATTTTTACCTAAGATAAACAACTAGGGGTGGCAACGGGGCGGGACGTGGACTATTTTGCATTACCCAATCCGTCACCAACACTTGTCGGTATGGTTTTGTCCCTATTATATGTTTCGGGGATTTTTTTTGTCCCCATAACCATCCCTTACGGATCCCTACGAGTTTCGGTTAATCCCTATTCCCAAAAGATTAAAAAAAAATGTTTTTGAAATCAATGCAACACCTAAAACTTGTAAGATATATCAATTCGTCAAATTGATCTCTATCTATAATATGAAAGTTTCAAACGTTAATATTCATCTAACACCCAATATATATGTACAATCTTAACCATTTTCAATCTCAACAAATCAATATATATTAAATGAGAAAAGATTTAAACTTCAATTTTAGTTCCTTTGAGATGTAACAGTGGCAACACGTAGAGTCACAATCTTATCATATATAATTTTTTATTAAAATATATATTAAGGGTATATAGGTAAATGATTATAAATGTATTTTTAAAATTTTGTAAAATATCAGGGATTCCTACGGGTATTTTTTGAGATCCCTACGGTTATTCACACGGGTACGGTTTGGTTATCCCCACGGTTCAAATATAGCAATTCACGTCCCCATCCCCATCCCTATGTGAGCTTTGAGGATAAAACTTCCCCCACCCCCATCCCCATGGGTGAGGATTTCGGTTATTCCCCATCTCAGTCGGTTAAGATCCCCACGATTTTTGGTTTTTCCCCACCCGATTGCCACCCCTATAAACAATTCATTTGCAATCTAATGGATCTTGTTTAAACTCATGTGGCCGTTGCAATGGTCATGCAAATTTATAATAGGCCACGTAATCATCAACATTCACAATCACTATATATATTTTATCATCATAATATTTATTTTTGTCATTTATGAAATTTGGTATTTTTATTTTAAATTCAACAATCATAATGCTTGTAAATTACGCGTTTAGTACCTAAACTATAAATTTTGGTCCGTTTTAATACTCAATCTATTAATTTTTTCAAAATCATACCTAAAGTTTAATTTTTGTTTCATTTTAGTACCCCGTTCGAAATTTAACATTAAGTTTTGAAAAAATTTAAAGTCTAGGTACTAAAATGGACCATAACTGATAGTTTATGTACTAAACGCGTTAAGTTTTTAACGGCAGGGTACTAAAATGAAATGAAAACTAAATGTTAAGTATGATTTTGAAAAAATTGAAAGTTTAGGTACTAAAACGGATCAAAACTGATAATTTATGTACTAAATGCGAAGCTTATTCTTTTTTCTAATAGATTTATATAGCATTATTAGATCAGATTTGTTCTTGTAAACAAAATGATGTATCAATTATTGTAGATGAAAAACTCCATAAGATTCTAACAATAAATCTAGTCCCTTTCTTTTTTATTTTCTAGTGATAACATAATCAATTGCTATACATGCTAAAATTCTTTAAACAAGTACTTTACCTCATATTATGGTTGTTCTAGTGATTGAGACAGCATATGTTGCTTGTGTTATTGCTGCGATGATATTCGTCTTTGTCGTTGTTTTCAACCTCGTCTTTTCTTGCCATTATTTTCCAAATTCCTTGCATTCAACTGGATTCCCGGAATTTGCTACATCAGAAGAGACATACACACAATCCTATATATGGAAATAAGCATAGCAATAAATGGATCCACATTAAAGAGGAATGAAGAAGAGACATTGCAGGTTACTGATATAGAAATATATTCCATCCGACACCACACGCGACTCACTTTTTCAGTTAGTCCTGATTGAGGTTTAATGCAAATGGGAGTCTGTTTTGCAGCACATATACTGATTGAGTTATAAGGGGCCGAGCGCAGCTTAGAAGACCATTATTTTGATGGAAGCGCGTGCAGGGAGTGAAGACGAAAATCTAATCTATAGGGCAATACAGGTGAGAAGTCCTGGAACCGGTTGGATCACAAACAAATTGTGGATAATTGGCTTTGTGAGCTAAACTAGTGGTTCCATAAAAGATTTCATGTTGTTCACATCTTCTTTTGTTTCCGAAAGCTTTTGTGGTTTAAAAAGCTTCCACATCCCGACTGGATGCCGCTGTTGAAGACCAGTGCCTTCAGCGAACCTCCCAAACATCTTCTCGCATTCCGGATATGGTTTGACATACATATTATAGAATCTAAGCCTACTTGGCTTTATCAAACTCTTCAACCCCACATCGAATTCCAGAGCACCTTTTGATCTCAGATACTCGACAACATTGTATCTAGGAACGATCTGTTTTTCAAAATTGGCACCCAAATATTCTGGAACTTCGACTAAGCTACCAACTCCATACTTCATCCTATGCACCAAGAACTCGATTTTCCTCTCAATCTCTTCTATTTCATATAAAACCAATCTTGGCTCCTTCCATAGGATCTTAAATGCTTCTCTACGAATCAACCCCTGTTTGCACAAGCAATCGACTCTAAGCTTCACCCCAAACCCAGCTCTGAACTCTCCTTCACTAAAAATCTTGAGTTTAATAGGAACTCGGCATTTCAAAGTTTTCAACAACCCTAAACACCTCGACATTTCCCCTAATTCCATGCCCAAAACTCTTGGATCCCTTATAATCTCATCCCTAATTTCATCTTCACTAAAACCCAATTCCAAAAACTCATCAAGCAATGGCTTCAACCTATTTTCAACATCAAATCCTAAAAATTCAGGAAAATAATGAAAAACCCTTTCAATCCCATATCTTGAAATCCCAGTTCCTTCCAATAAACCAATCTTTTCACAGATTTCATCTCCATTCATCATGATTATCCTAGGAAACCTTTCTAAAACCCTAGTCAAAACCCCGCCATTGAACCCCAAATCTTTCAAACCGCCAACACGGTCCAAAAACAAATCTGAGTCTATCTGAAACCGCTTAGAAAGTGCCAAAGCACTGCAGATCGCCACTGGAGAAACACCCGAGTCCCCGAATTCAGAAACCCCGATTTGCCATTTCTTCAAAAAGTTAAAATCCAGAACAGCTGGACAGTCGAATAACAAAGAAATAAAGCAAGTCTGGGGAATTTTAAAAGACAAAAGAATGTTTAGAGAGCTCTGGATTTCGTGAACATTAGAGTGGTTGAGTAAAAAATGGTTTCTTGCAAGAAAAGTGTGGAGTTGAGAAGGTGAAAAACCGTACCTTCGAAGGAGATTTGCAAGGAAAATCTTGTTCCTGAACTGGGAAATTTTGGGGGGAACTGTTGAAATGAATTGGGTCGACGAGAGTCGGCAGAAAATTTTTGCTTTGGTAAAGGAACTGATAGCCATGGCTTATTTTGCCCTGTGAAGTCTTGAAGGTGAATTTGTAGCTGTTTGTTTAAACATTTAAACGAGTAATACAATTTGGTACTTCAATTTAGTTTTAATGTTCAATTTGGTACTTAATTTTTTTAAGGTTTAAATATAAAACAAGTGCCCAAATAATAGTGTTTTTTACAAACGAGTACCTAAACTATTTTTTTATCCTGGTTTGGTGCACGGGTCGTCAACTGTATTAATTTCCTTCATTAAGTAACACAGATCATAATCAGTTAATTTTGAAATTTATTTTTTAAAAATATTAAAAATATTATTATATTTAAATAAAATATATATTTTCTCTTAAATTACAAAAAAGTTCTAAATCCCCTAATCCTAATCCTAACCCATCGCCACTGCCCTTTCCAGCCACGACTACTGCCGCCGACATAGTCTCTGTCATCCTTATAGTCATACGCTGTCGTAGTTGCCGCCATTGGCCGTTGGAATCGATTGGGATCACAATTTTCATCCTAGGGTTCGTAAGATATAAAACATCGATTCGCCGTTGATTGGTCACAATTTCATAGAGGTTTGGTCGTTGGGGACGTCAGGTTGGCTGGAGTTTCGTCGACGGTAAAGGGAGGCGGCTGACGTGAGTTTAGAGGTTAAAATGAAGATTTTCAAAGTTTTGGAGTTATTTCAAAATGTATGTATTTTTTTAATATATAATTTCATTTTTTTAATTATATAAAAATTTAAAATTATCATATTGTGACACATGTTACTTAACGGAAGAAATTAATGCAGTTGACAGTCCGGACATCTAAAGTGATAATATTTGTAACGTTAGATACGATGATTATTAAAAAAAATAATTTAAACATCTATTTGTGCAAAGCGTTGCAGTTCAGACAGTTATTCTATATTTAAGCCTTATTTTTATTTGAATTAGGTCCCGACTAAGCATCAATGTTAAATTTGGTGTCTATAATTCTTTTTTGTCCAATTAGATACATAAATTTAACTTTTTTTGGTTCAAATTAGTATTTGAAATTGGGATTTTTTTATTCAAATTAGTCCAATAAGCCATTTATTATAAACATTAATTTGGATATAATGTTAAGTTCATATATTATATTGAACTAATAAATCAAGTTTAAGTATTTAATTAGACTAGAAAGGAACATACTTCAAAGATGATAAAATGCAAGCTCTGGACTTGCAAGCTCTTTGTCAATGGTTATACTTGCAGGCTAGCTCTAGACTTGGCTTACGTCCGAGCGTATCCAAAACCGACCTCAATTCATCGACCGAGATGTTACCGTCCCCGTTCCGATCGAAAACGTCGAAAGCCTCCTTCATATCTTTCTCCTCATCCTTATTTTCCATTATCGATCAATCGAAAACGTCGAAAGCCTCCTTCATATCTTTCTCCTCATCCTTATTTTCCATTATCGATCAATACAGCGCGCTGAATTCGTCGATGTCGATACGCATATCGCCATCAACATCGAACCGTTCGATCATCTGCATCAAGTTCACATTGGAGACGAAGATGCCCATGTTCTCCAACGAATCATTCAACTCTTTCTTCGTGATCGCCCCGCCCCTGTCGAACATCTGGAAAATCCTCCTTAGATCCGCCGCGTCCATTCTTTCCAGAGGGGATGTCGTCGCGGTCGCTAGCGTCCCTTGTTAATAAAATTGTCAGGCCAAGTTATATTATCATATGTTTGAAAAAATTAAAATTTAGGTTAAAACATGGTTGAAACTAATTGCATATTTGGATGATTTTGGAATGTTCAAGAGTTTGGGGATCAATTTAGAAAAAATATCATAGTTTAGGGATGAAATTAGAATGTTTAAAAGTTTAAGGACTACAACAAAAAAGATAATGCAATGGTGCACAAAAATTCAAATCATTTAAGAAATTTAGTATTTCATTTCATTAAACCGACTTATTGTTGATAGAATTTTAACCTTTAATAATATATCTCCGACTTTGTATTGAAATACATTAATTTCTTGGATAAAGCACATAAATGGCCCCCTAACTATAGGATATTTTTTATTAAGTCCCTTAACTATTAAAAGTTACAAAATAGTCATTCGACTATAGGGAGGTGTTTTGTTGAGCCCCTTGACTTTTAAAAGTTATAAAATGGTCACCTAACTATTCATTATTTTCCAAACTCGTCCTTTTTCGTTAAAAGTTTGATGGTAGTCTGAGCTGTACGTTAACCTGCTAATTGAGATATGAAAAAATCTGATGTCAGAATCTCAAATGACTATCATATCTCAGTCAGCAAGTGCATGTTAACGTCCAACTCAGGTGATTGTTAATATAATTTTAACGGGAAATGATGAGTTCAGAACACAATGAATAGTCGAGTGATCATTTTTTAATTTTTAATAGTCGAGGGATTTAACAAAGCAACTACCTATAGTCGAGAGATTACTTTATAACTTTTAATAGTCAATAGACTCAATAAAACAACATCCTATAATCAAATACCATTCGTATACTTTATCATAATTTCGTTATATTTAATAAAATTATGAAGTTGAAGTACGTAGGTAGGTTGGTTGCATCTTATGGTCCTCGGCCTACTTCGCTTTCTTATAAATGTGGCACATGCTTCGGTTGGTTTTAGCAAGGGCCTGTTCCCAGGCCGCTGTCATGATTCAATTATTTTTTAGCAAATGTAATATTAAAATTTAATTTTTGGTCCAACAGAACACGAGATAATAATATAACTATCATTATAGTTTTTAATTAGATCTTTATTATATATATAGATTTGTGACGGGTCAGATTAAGTGTGAGTTATTACCGAAAAATCGAGTCAAATTTTAAGTCGGATTAAGTATCTTTATACTCAGATTGGATCATGTGACAAATGAACTAGCATAATACCAAGGTAGAATTCAAATGATCAATAATTTGGATTTACCAAACTCACGTTCATCCCTAGTCAATACATATGCATTTTTATTGGGTAAATTATGTGTTTAGTATCTAAACTATTAATTTTGATATGTCTTAATATCTAAACTTTCGATTTATTTAAAATCATGTCTAACGTTTAGTTTTTGTTTCATTTTAGTACATCGTCGTTAATGATTTAACGATATTGTATTTTTTATGGATAAGTTACATCATTCATCACTTAACAATCTTCTCACTCCTATTTTGGTACTAAAGTTAAAAAAAAATCAATTTAACTACTCAATTTTCAAATTGCTCATATTTTATTCACTCCTCTTTATTTTATTATTAATTTTTGTGGCATGAATTTTTATTTTATTTTATTAATATATAATTAAAAATAAAAAAATAAATTTGAAAGTTAGAGTGATTAAATTAAGAGTAATTTGAAAGTTAAGTGATTAAACTTTAGTGACCAAAATAGGAGTGAGAAGATTAGGGGTGTTTACTATTTGGTTTTAACCAAATTAACCGACCGAACCGAATTAGTCCGGTTAATTAGGTCGGCCACCGAATCAGATCGATCGGGAAACGGTTAATATTTTTTTTAGAATTCGATTAACGATTAATTCAGTTTGAAATCAGTTAATTACTCGAATTAACCGAATTAACCAAAATTATTAAATATTAAATATGTTATACATACTAAATCCATATTTTAAGCTCAAACTCATTAAGAATTAAAACTCAATTATTTTTTAACCATACTAAATTCATTAAATTATCGATACCTAATTAAATTGTAACCCAAATAAAAAATCATCTCTATTATAATTAAATTAATCTAATTTGAAAGGTTATAAAAAATATTATAAAAAATTTGGTTAACCGACCAAAAATAACCGAACCTTGTTCGTTTTGGTTAATATTTTCAAAAGAAAAAGTTTGGTTCAGTTAAAGAAAAAAATATGGTTAATAGTAATTCAGTTCGATTAGTGGCCAAATTAACCGATTGAATACCTCTATAGAAGATAATTTACTGATGAATAACATAAATTGTCCCTAAAAAAGGTGTCACGTGCAAATCACCCATTAGACGTGCAAATCACCCAATAGGTTTTTAACGCGAGATATTAAAACAAAACAAAAACTAAATGTTAGGTATTATACTTTTAAAAAAATTAAATTCAAGACTATAGTTTAGATACTAAACGTGTAATTTACCCGTTTTATACTGTAGACCGAATCCAAGACGTAAAATGTTTTTTTTTTTGGAAGAGAAATTGCATGTAATGAAGAGTCTATTAAAAGCTCGTGATTTTTAAGATAAAAATGATGAAGCAAAGATTAAAAAGAAGAAAAAAAAATGGAAATAGACTGGTGATGAATATGATAATAGGAGAGAAGAAGACATGAAGAAGATGAAATGGCATTTACTTGTCAATAAATGCATTCACCAACATTTACCAACATTCAGAAGCAGCACTTTGATCCACATTTATTCTTCTTTCCCTTTCCCTTTCTTCACTACAATCTTCACTGCATACACCAACCATCATCTTCTTCCCTTCTCCACTGGATTTCCTGTGCATTATTTCCCCTTTTTCTTTTGCTTTTTTGGGTGTTTTTTCTCGTACAAGGGAGTGTTTTGATCTGGGTTTTTAGGTAAGGTCTCATTTTTTGATGGAGAATCATGTTTATACTGCAAAGGGTACATTAGAAAGGTGTTATTCAAGCTAGCTTTGGATAGTTTAGGTGTTCATCTTGTGCTGCAATGGTGGTTCTATGGCTTTCGATTAGAGATTCTTCAGTTTGGGTCTCGCTTGTGGCTTTGTTGAACATATGGTGGCTAGTTTCGGGTCTAGGCTCGATGTCTAGTGTTGCCGTTTCTTATGGTGAGAAAGGTCCTGTTTTTTGTGGCTTGAAACCTGATGGTTCACATCGTGTGACCTGCTATGGCTCAAATGCTGCAGTCATCTATGGGACACCTTCTCGTTTCCCCTTTGTGGGTCTAACCGCCGGCGACGGCTTCGTCTGCGGGCTGTTGATGGACTCGAACCAGCCTTATTGTTGGGGGAGCAGCGGCTATATCGAAATGGGGGTTCCTCAGCCGATGATCAAGGGGGCTGAGTATGTAGAGATCAGTGCAGGGGATTACCATTTATGCGGTTTGAGGAAGCCGGTAACCGGAAGGCTTCGAGATTATGCTTTGGTCGATTGTTGGGGTTATAATATGACTAAGAACTATGTGTTTGATGGTCTGATCAAATCGCTGTCGGCCGGTTCGGAGTTTAATTGCGGGTTGTTTTCTCGAAACATGACTGTTTTGTGTTGGGGTGATGAGACTAGTAGCCGTGTCATTAGCTTGGTTCCTAGAGAAATGAGGTTCCAAAAGGTTGCAGCTGGTGGATATCATGTATGTGGAATTTTGAATGGGTTGAAGTTGAACTCTAGTGTGTTTTGCTGGGGAAGGAGCTTGAACCTTGAGGAAGAATTGTCGATGCCGGTCGCATATTCACGTCAAGGAAAGGTCGATTTACCGCCGAAAGATCCGATGCTCACGGTTGTTGGAGGGAAGTTTCATGCTTGTGGAATCAAGAGTTATGATCACAAAGTGGTCTGCTGGGGCTTCATTGTCAGTCCATGTACCCCGCCTCCTAAAGATGTTAAAGTCTATGGAATTGCAGCTGGAAATTACTTCACCTGTGGTGTTATAGCCGAAAAATCGGTTCTCCCTGTTTGTTGGGGCGTCGGATTCCCGACCTCGCTCCCTCTCGCTATCTCGCCCGGACTTTGCAAAGACACTCCTTGTGCACATGGTTCCTATGAAGTTAGTCCTGAGAATGCACCTTGCAAGTCTCCTAACTTTCATATTTGTATGCCCTGCAGCATTGGTTGTCCTGCTGAAATGTACCTAAAATCGGGATGTGCTTCGAAGGCCGATCGAGTTTGTGATTACAATTGTTCTAGTTGCACATCGGTGGAATGCTTCTCAAATTGTTCTTCGTTTTCGAACTCCGATGCTGCTAACGGAAGTAAAAACGAGTGGTTCTGGTCGCTGCAATTACCGATCATCGTCGCAGAGATTGCCTTTGCCGTGTTGCTGGTGATTATGATATCGTTAACTGCGATCTTATATGTTCGATACAGGTTGCATAACTGTCGCTGCAAAGCAAAAGAGTCGAAATCCATGAAAGCTAATGAGGTTGCTTCTTGCCGAAAGGAAAACGTAAAAGTCCGTTCCGACTTCGATGAGCTCAAGATCAGGAGAGCTCGAATTTTCAATTACGAAGAACTCGAGAGGGCCACTAGTGGATTCAAAGAAGAATCTGTGGTTGGTAAAGGAAGTTTCTCACGCGTTTATAAAGGGGTATTGAAAGATGGGACCGTTGTTGCAGTTAAAAAAGCCGTAATGTCTTCCGATAAACAAAAGAATTCGAAAGAGTTCCACACGGAGTTAGATTTACTGTCGAGATTGAACCATGCCCATCTTTTGAATCTGCTAGGATACTGCGAAGAGGGCGGAGAACGGCTTCTTGTTTACGAGTTTATGGCTCATGGATCGTTGCACCAGCATCTTCATGGAAAGAACAAGGACCTGAAAGAGCAATTAGATTGGGTCCGAAGGGTCACCATCGCAGTCCAAGGTGCTAGAGGAATCGAATACTTGCACGGTTACGCTTGCCCGCCGGTGATTCATAGGGACATCAAGTCCTCAAACATTCTCATCGACGAAGAACACAATGCTCGAGTGGCTGATTTCGGTCTCTCTTTACTAGGACCTGCAGATAGTAGCAGTCCATTAGCAGAGCTACCTGCTGGAACACTCGGTTATCTCGATCCGGAATACTACAGGCTTCACTACCTCACAACAAAATCCGATGTCTACAGCTTTGGCGTGTTATTGTTGGAAATTTTAAGCGGACGAAAAGCCATTGATATGCAATACGAAGAAGGGAATGTCGTCGAGTGGGCAGTTCCGTTGATCAAATCCGGAGACATATCTGTGGTTCTCGACCCCGTCTTGAAACCCCCTGCAGACATTGAAGCATTAAAAAGGATTGCAAATGTGGCTTCCAAATGTGTGAGAATGAGAGGAAAAGAGAGACCATCAATGGATAAAGTTACCACTGCTTTAGAGCGAGCTTTGGCTCAGTTGATGGGCAGTCCGTGTAGCGAACAACCGATTTTGCCGACCGAGGTGATCCTGGGAAGCAACAGGATGCACAAGAAGTCTTCTCAAAGGTCCTCGAATCGATCGGTCTCGGAAACCGAAGTCACGGAAGAAGTCGAGGACCAAAGGTTCGAGTTTAGAGCTCCTTCATGGATTACCTTCCCTAGTGTAACTTCGTCTCAAAGGCGGAAATCATCGTTATCGGAAGCGGATGTCGAGGGAAAGAACATAGAAGGAAGAAACACGGGCAACGTAGCGTACGCCGGGGACGGTTTGAGAAGATTGGAGGAAGAGATAGGCCCTGCATCTCCTCAACAAAGTTTGTTCTTACAACACAATTTCTAAACGGACCCAGAAAATGTAGTGAATTGTAAAAAAATGAGAATGAGAGGATGTAACTGTCAGGATTTTTATAATATCATGTCTTGGTTTGCATCTTGCATGTGTTTTGATTTGTTGTTAATTTGAATTCTTTCTTGTGACTATTCTGTAACTATCATGATCTGTTTCTTCTAATGCTAATGGATGAAATTCATGTTTACTGTTCAGTTTCTTAAAGGGAAAAGTGAGTGTTCGATTATTAAAACTTACAAAATGGTCACTCGATTATTCATATGTTTTAAATTTGTCATTTTCTGTTAAAATATTGACGATTGTTTGAGTTGGACGTTAACTTGCTGACTGGGACATGATAAAACCGATGTCTACGGGTATCACCGCTGCTTTTAAGCATTGGTTCGATGACACAATGTTTCGAACACTTGCTCAACAACATAATGTAAATAGAGACTCGATTTACAAAATATAACTTAAACATTTTTGAGATCAGATTTTATTATATCACAATGAACAAATTAACGTCCAGCTCAGACGATCGTCAACTTTATTAACGAAAAATGAGGAGTTTGAAACATCTAAATTTGTAACTTATTTATTAGTTACAACAATTAATATTTTAGTATACACAAACGGTTAGGGAACGGAGAGAAAATTTTACGTTGGGAGGATGAATTTATAAAATTGAGTATCAATTTATAAAATTTTAGGGTTTGAAAATAAATGTTCAATCAAAAAATTCAAAGTAATTATTTAAAATGTACATGAATTTAAATTTTTTAGGAGGGACGAATGTTCCCACCACTCTCTCCTCGATTCATTCATACTTATTTAGACCTGGATGATATGATGGCTATCCATACATTAACATGAAAAATAAATATTGTTGTTAGATTATATTTTTATATTTAACACTAATTTCAAGAACCACAATAAAATCTTTTAATCAAAAGCAAAAGAAAAAAATAAAATCATTTCACCTTTACTCCTTATTGTAGTTTCTTATAGAGATAAACCACTTTATCTATCAATGATCGATTTATTATTAACTAATTTTTTTTTTGTCGAAATCGAAACGATTGACCGCCTACGACCGCCATCATGGTTGAAATTAATCAGTATAAATCGATGATAAGTATTAAATGTTCAAGCATGGCGGGCTGAATTTTTTCGGGGTGCATACATCTTTCACCGTCAACTGTAGAACTGAAAAGTATTCATGCCGTGTGATACTTGGATATTCTTCTTCTTCTTCTTCTTCTTCTTCTTCAATTTCTGTACACACACATATTCAAAACCCAATCTACACCATCTTCATCAAAGAAATCAACAACCCAAATGGGTTTTCATCTAGGGTTTTACTCCATCCTCCTATTTCTCTTATCCCCAACGTTAATGGCAGCTGAATCTCAAGAAAGTATCTGCGGGAAAGAAGTGTGTGGAAACGTTACAATCCCATCCCCATTCGGAATCCATGGAAGCTGCTATTCTCGTTCCTTGTTCAGAGTAATTTGCAGGCAAACCCAGAACGGGAAAAGGCCTTTCATAAGCATAAACGACTTCGATGTTGAGCTACTCGGCTCCTTGTTCTCGGGGAACACCGTTCTGATAAAGAATCCGGTAACGCACGTTAACTGCGATGATGATCGTCAAAAGGTCGACGGTATTAATGTCGGTGTGAATCTAACGGGCACTCCGTTTTTCTTCTCGAGTGACTACAACCTGTTCGGGTCCGTGGGTTGCGGGAATTTGGCTGCAGTTTTAGGTAACGACAGTGAACCGCTTGGCGGCTGCATTCAGCCGAGATGCGGCGGCGGCGGCGGGGCTGAAGCTGGGTGCTTTAATCAAGTGTTTGGGAATTTCAGTTCAAGTATGGTAGAGATGACAGCCGTGTACGATGGTGGGAAGGAAGATGAGAGGAAGAGATGTTCATCTGCTTTCCTGTTTAGCAGGCTGTATTTCCATGGAGATGATCCATTAGATATTGGCAATGGCGTCGATATTGAGACCACGCATGTCCCTACTACGCTCAGCTGGGATTCAACCTATTGCGGTCATGCAGGTCAGTCACTCGCTGTCACTTAGTTTAACTATAAAGTTTAGGATAAATTACGTATTTTTAGTATTTAAATTATTAGTTTTAATCTCTTTTAATATTTAAATTTTTATTTATTTAAAATTTAACTTTTGTTTTATTTTAATATATTTATTCAAAATTTAACATTAAATTTTAAATTTTTTGAAAGTTTATGTATAAAACAAATTAAAACTAATATTTCAAGTATTAAATACATTAAGTTTTTAACAGTGTAATACAAAAATATAACAAAATCTAAATAATAAATATAATTTTAAAAAAATTAAAAGTTTAAATATTAAAACAGATTAAATTAATAGTTTAAGTAATAAAATTTTTAATAATTAATTTAATTTTTTAGGATCATTATGTAGATTAATATTTATCCAATAATTTTATTTCACTTTTTTTAAATCAATAAAAAAATTATATATATATATATATATATATATATATATATATATTAAAGTATTTATATAAGGATAATATTCAATTATACGATGTAATATTTTTAGTTTTACATATATTTAATATCATTAAATGAGTGAAAAGACGACCGAAAATAATAGTACGAAAGGTTAAGATATTCGTTAAAAAATATTTAACTTGAAACTTCTATTTAAATTAATTAATTATTAAAGACTCTGAATTAATTACATCACACGTCCTTCAATTATGACCTTTATTTTAAATTAGTCCCTATAATTTTAAATATTTTAATTTCATCTATAAACTATGACTATAATTCTAAATTAGTCCTCAAACTTTTGAGCATTTCATTTTCATCCTCAAATATTGAACTTCATTCTAAATTAGACCCTAAACTTTTTAAATATTTCAATTTCATCCCATATTATACAAATATATTAATCACATCCATTGTTAATAAAATCATTAGACCAAGTTATATTACTATATGTTTGAAAAAAAAAGTAAAATTTAGGTTAAATTATGGTTGATACTGATTATATATTTGAATAAATTTGGGAATGAAATTGGAAGAATCAAAAGTTTGAGACCAATTTAGAATAAAAGTCATAATTTGATAATGAAATTGGAATGTTTAAAAGTTTAAGGACCAATTTGAAACGACGGTCATAGTTTGAGTATGAAATTAAAATGTTTAAAAATTTAAGGACAAATTTGAAATGAGAGTCATAGTCTGATTAGATGATTCAATTAACTCAAAAACTCTCAATCGTTTAACAATAAATGATAAAACTAATCTATTTAACACTAAGGTCACTTGGTTTGTGAATGAATATACATAAGTAAATCATTACAATAGTTAAAGTATTATTTTTATTTTATTGAAACAATGAATGTAATTAGGGATGGCAACAGGTCGGGTTTTTGGCCAACCCAAACTGACTTGAAAATATGTATCCTCCATCTAAATTCGACGCGATCCGAAAATTTTATATCCTACATCCGACACGATCTGACCTGTAAAATATATATCCTTCATCCGATTGTAAAATATATATCCTCCATCCGATTACGACCCAACCCAATTTTTTAGAGTATAAATTCGAGTCGACTCTATCCGACTGGATATAAACTAAGGATTTAATTAAATTTTAAAGAAATTACATTGTTATCCTTGGGTCGGGTCGGAGTTTTTTTACCCTCCACCCGACTCGACCCGACCTCACCCCTTAAAAAATCTGACACGACCCAAACCTGATTTTTTTAAAATAGTCTGACCCTATCAGATTGGGTCGAAATTCATCGGATTTAGATTAAATTGTGATCCCTAATTCCTAAATATAAAGTTAGATTTTAAAGGGTGTTAACTTGTTCAATTTACACATATCTTGCCATGGCCACAGGATGCGAACCAGGGCTAGGACCGACCTACTTCATCAGTGAAAACTCTTGTGGCAACATTACGTTTCAATACCCATTTGAAATAAGCGACCAACTTCATCATCCCAACGGCAGCTGGTTCACAGTAATCTGCAACAAAACAGCCGATGGCCGATCAATGCCATTTTTAAACATAAACAGCTTCAATCTGCAGATACTCGAGTTTTCATTTTTTTTGGGCAACGTCGTGGTGAACCATTCAATAACTTACTTCAATTGTCGCAACAACGATAACAACAACGGCATGAGCCTCGACCTGACGGCCACCCCTTTTTACTACTCGGATTTCGACAACATTATCTGGTCTCCCGGTTGTGGTAATCTCGTCACCGTTTTCGACCCCGAAACAAGCAATCTCATAGGCGGATGTTTGCAACCGAGTTGTCGGAATGGCAACGAGGCTTCCTCTGCTACCGGCTGCCCTACTAATGTTCCTCATGGTCTCGGTTCTTTCTTCGTGAACGTGAGTGAACGAGTTGATGCTAGTGGCTATAGCCAGGAAAGATCTTGCGGATTTGCTTCCATAGTGAGATCACGCCTTTACTATGACTTGACCATAGAGCCACAAGAGCTTGATATGAGTAATTGGATGTATGTTCCAATATCACTGCAATGGAGCACACCGATGTCAGGGTTGTGCCATTTGAGACCAGGTGTAAGCACTACTTGTAGCTCCGATCGTCAAACTTGCTGGCAAAATTTGGGCTCTACTCATCTCTGTGTATGCAACAGGGATTTCGGTAGGGAATTTTCGAGTTTATGCAAAGGTAAAACTTAACACATGTTTTCAATAATTTATAGGGTAAATGGTCTCTCGATTAATTATAGGATGTTGTTTTATTGAGTCACTGATTATTAAAAGTTATAAAATGATCCATCGACTATATGCTGATGTTTTGTTGAGTCCCTCGACTATTGAAAGTTAAAAATTGATCACACGACTATTCATATGTTCTAAACTCATCATTTTTCGTTAAAAAAATGACGATCGTTTGAGTTTGACGTTAACCTGTTGACTGAAATATGATAAAATTTGATCCTAGAACAGTTTGAGCTATAATTTATGGATCAACTATTCGTTTACATAATGTCGTCGAGCTAGTGCTTGAAAGCAACATTGATGCCGATAGACATCATTAAAATACGATTTTATCATATCCCTATCAACATGCTACTATCCAGTTCAGATGACTATCAATTTTTTAATAAAAAATGATGAGTTTGGAACATATGAATAATCAAATGATCCTTTCATTAGTCATGAGACTCAACAGAACGAGATTCTATAGTTGAGGGATTATTTTGTAACTTTTAATAATCAAATATTTAATAAAATAATATCATATAGTCAGGAGACCATTTGTGTAATTTATCCTAATCTATATTGCATGCATACTTATATGGACTTAACCTTTTTTTTTAATCGCTTTGTTAAATTTCAGGAGAGGATTGTGGGATTTATGTTTGGTGTCACATGCTTTGTTTGAATACTCCTGGTAACTATTGTTCATCAAGGGACTGCCCTCTTGACTATGAATACAATAGTACTGAATTTAGGTGCGAGCCCAGAAAGTTTACTTCACTAGTACCACAAGAGAATACTCTGAACCCGACCATCATCATTATAGGTATGCGTTGAACTACACGTTCAGTATCTCAACTATCACTTTCGTTTCGTCTTGGTCATCTGTCGTTAAAAAATTAACAGAGCTACCGACATAACATTATCTCATGGTGACACGTCAGCAAGATAAAACAATGTTTCTTATTTGCATATAGGTTGCAGCACTAGCATTGGGACAATATGTCTGCTACTTGTGACATGGAGGATGCACAAAATGCTGAAAAGAAGAAAGCACATCATGTTGAAGCAGAAACACTTCAGAAAGAATGGAGGTTTGTTACTGCAACAGCATTTGTCCAGCAATAAAAATAATTTCGAAAAGATAAACTTGTTTACTTCGACGGAGATGGAAAAGGCGACGGATTATTATAACGAGAATCGGATTATAGGTAGAGGAGGACAAGGAACTGTTTACAAAGGGATGTTAACAGATGGGAGTATTGTTGCTGTTAAGAAATCTAGAATGGCGAAGGGCAAGAATTTTGATGAAAAGAAGGTCGAACAGTTCATCAATGAGGTGATAATTTTGTGTCAGATTAACCATAGGAATGTGGTTAAGCTTTTAGGGTGTTGTTTAGAAGATGAAGTCCCCTTGCTGGTGTATGAGTTCATCCCAAATGGAACATTATTTGATCTGATTCACTGCCAGAACGAAGAATTTCCATTGACATGGGACATGCGTTTACGTATTGCGATCGAAGTCGCCGATGCTTTGTTCTATCTGCATTCGGCTGCCCATGTTCCCATTTATCACCGTGACATCAAATCGAGTAACATACTTTTGGACGATAAATACAGGGCGAAAGTGTCGGATTTCGGAGCTTCGAGATCCGTTTCACTCGAACAAACTCATTTAACGACTCGGGTGCAGGGCACTTTCGGGTACATGGACCCGGAGTACTTCCGATCGAGTCGGTTCACGGAGAAGAGCGATGTGTACAGTTTCGGAGTTGTTCTCGTCGAGCTTTTAACAGGACGGAAACCGGTGTCGGAACAGGAGGAAGTGAGAGGCTTGGTGTCGTGCTTTCTCATTTCGATGCAGGAGAATTCCTTGTTTGACATTATGGATTCGAGCGTGCTGAATGATGGTACGGAAAAAGAAATGAAAGCAGTGGCCAAACTAGCAAACAGGTGCTTGAATCTTGATGGAAGGAGAAGACCCACCATGAAACAAGTAGCAATGGGGCTGGAGCTGATAAAAGCATCAGAAGAAGAAGAAGGTAATGTTAATGAACAAAGTGGTAATGAAGAATCTGAAATTGATGACGATGAATCCTGGGATGATGATTCTTCTTGTTCAACCACTAGATCAATTAGATGTAACACTGAAACTCTGCCATTAACGGCATCCTTTTAGTTTCCCTAACTTTGAAGTTAATTTTCTACTGTTAATGCACTCTCTATGTAATAAATATATCCTACGTTTCTTCATGCATGAATTAAATTATCAATCAATGCACGAATCCTCATTTGTTCGAGCGGTAATCAGTTTGATATCGCTTAAGCATGTGTCGAGTTAGAGTTTTAGTGTATGAAAATCTCCATTGGAAGACTCACCCAAAAAAATCTAGTGTGCGACCTATGTCGATTCGAATTAATTGGGAATAGAAAGGGCAACAAAAAAATTACCTCATTGGTTAAAGATATAATTGTTTTTTCTATATACTTAAATTATCAGTTTTGGTTTGATTTAGAACTTAAATTTTTAGTTTTTTCGAAATCATACTTAGTATTTAGTTTCATTTTATTTTACTACCCCGCCGTTAAAAACTTAACATGTTTAGTATCTAAACTATCAATTTTGGTCGTTTTAGTACCTAAACTTTTAATTTTTTCAAAACTTAATGTTAAATTTCGAATAAGACAAAAACTAAAGTTTTAATTGTGAAATACTAAAATGAAACAAAAACTAAACTTTAGATATAATTTTGAAAAATTGAAAATATATGTATTAAAATAGATCAAAATTAATAATTTATGTACTAAACTCGTGATTTACCAATTTCTCCTTTTACTATATTGAAGCTTGGACTTGGACCTTGTATTGGGCCTAAACTAAAATCGGTTCATTTATTTATTTATTTAAACCTAATTATAAAACTCCCATTGATTTTATGTACTAAATTTCTCTCGAAATTTCCCACCTAAACCTCTCTCGCTCTCTCTACGTTACACGTTACCTGCGCTGCTGTCGTTGGTGTTGCCGCCGATTCAGCCGCCGTATTCTTTTTCTTTCCGACGGTGAACCTTTTCCTTCTTTCTTCTGTTCACTGAATTCTCTCCCTCGTTTCTTTAGTGTTTCCGGAGGCTCTTCTTGTTTTTCCTCGCTCGGCTGTGTACGCATAACTCTCTGGCAGCCTCGACGTCGCCACTCTTCATTCCTCGGCCTTCAACACTAGGTATCCCTTTCACTATCTTTACTCTTGATGTTCCTCTGGATATTTGTTTTCTTTGAAATTGCTGCTTTTCCATTAGTTTTTTGTTCATTTTTCATTTCTTCCGCTAGAGTTGGAGAACAATCGTAAAGTTTATTTTAAGCTAGTTTTAAATTATATGCGTTGAATTAGAAATTTATTCGTTGGAAACTATATTTTGAAGTATTTCAAATGGCAATGGCTTAATTTTTCTTCAATATCGAAATTCATGAGTTTTTTTGCTAAGAAATTCATGATCTTAGTTTTATATGTGAAATCAATAGGTTAGATTATGTGTTGGTGTTTGTGGCTTTATTCATTCGTTTATCTTTGAAGAAACTTTTGATTTTGTTTAACAACTTTTGAGGAACCAAAAGTAAATTAAAAAATAATATTAAAAAAGATTAGTGCCAAATGGAACCTTACTTCAGGGATGTCACATTTTGTTGGTTTGTCTGGATGAATATATTGTATTGGGAATTCGGTGAAAAAGTTGGTTTGTCTAACCACCTTTGGAATTTCAATGATCAGGTACATAGGTTTTGATCCTCAATGGGGTCTGCTGAACAAGATGAGTATGCTGCTTTCAAAGAGAAGGTGAGGCGGACGGTTTTCATGGATAACCTATCACCGATTGTAACCGAGTCAGTCATGAGAACTGCCCTTGATCAGTATGGAACTGTCAAGAGTGTTGAGTTCCTTCCGAACTATCTGGAGCCTCAGAACATGCCCCGATGTGCTTTGGTGGAGATGGAGAAAGAAAAGCAAGCTGAAGTTGTCATCTCGACGTTATCAGAACTGCCTTTCATGATGTCTGGAATGCCAAGGCCTGTGAGGGCACGTGCTGCTGTGCCCGAGATGTTTGGTGATCGTCCAAGAAAGCCTGGTCGACACCTGCATGTCCATTGGTTGGACCCTTCTGATCCCAATTTTGAGGTAGCGAACAAGCTTAAGCAGCTTGTGAAAAAGCATTCCACTGAAAATGCTGTGATGCTCAAGGTAAATTCTAAATCTTGTATAAAATCCATCCGCTTCTAGGTGTGTAAGATATTGTTATTTTATATTGAACTTGTTATTTGTTGCTTTGAAGCATCAACTGGAGAAGGAGGAGAAGCTTGCAAAGCAACAAGGAGAAACTTTGAAAGCAAATTACAAGAAGTATGAGATGCTAGATACTTTGATGGCTGATGGAACTGTTAGACGTTTGGCACGACGCTATAATTTCAGAATTTCAGATGACTCGGGGCCTTCTACCTTTCACTGACATGCGACAATTTTATGTGCTAACGTAAGTTCCGAGGGTCTTCGCTTGGCATGTATTGGAACCGTTTAAATCATGTGGATATCATCTCTTTTCTTCTAATTGAGGTGCACTTAGATCTTGTTCATGTTATCTGATTGTCAAGATCTTGAAATTTTCATACTAGAGAAGCACAAATCACAAAATATTTGCTTAATATACACCCTATTCCAAGTAGCATCATCGTCACCGTCAAACCAAGGCCATGGTATTTAGATAATTAAAATTTGTGAGACGTGAAAGTATTTGAGGCCCTCATTCTTGATTTGTGACTGCCATGATTCTAGTCTGTATGTACTCTCTTTTATCCGTTGAGCAAGGCTAGCAGCTTAAATCGTGTCATTCTCATCTTTCCCCCCTCCGAATAAAATTAGGGAGAACAGATAGTTTTCGCCTCACCATGGTGAACTTTACCATTTATGAGCATAGGTTATTGGTACATTTAGAACGTCATGGTTCTCAAGTTCTATAGAACATTAGCACTATGAATTAATGTGTGCATTGCCTTTCTTTCATCTTCCTTGAATGGCTGCTGTTCTATATACAGCTGTAGTTTGGTGTTAAGGTTGTCTTTTTCGAGCTTTTATGAGCTTCAATTCATGGTTTCGAGTTCAATTTGAGCTTAAAAATTTTAGTCTCACAAGTTTTCGAGTGGAGTTGAGCTCTATTTTAGAGTTTTCGAGTCAAATCGAACTCAACAATACTCAATTACGACTCCGCTTGTTTACATCTCTACTTGATCTCTATTTTAGAGTTTTCCGTAAACATGAAAGTTTTTTAAAATTTTCTTTTAATCTCTGATTTACCCTTTAACGTCAAAAATTGTTAGCGTAGAAGAATATTTTTGCTATTGATTTGATCATCTTGCATTGGTTAACCTATTGTGAATAAAACTCGACTCGAAAAATTTATCTTTCGACTTGATTGGATTCGAAAAAATTTGACTTCAATTAACTTTGAGTTGTAATTTTAAAAACTTTACTTGATTTTTTTTTAATTTGAGTTGAATTATAAAATAGAATTTGAATAACTAGAATAATTCAAAATTTTTAGTAATTAGTAAAGATTTTTAAGTTTGAGTTGAGTCTTATGATTTTGTATGATATATGAATATAACATATTAGAAAACAACGAAGATACAAATGAATTGTATATAGATATAGAAAATTGTTTGAATTAGGATCAAATAATATTATGATATTTTAAGTATTTATAATTAAATTTAAATAAAATTCGAATAACTCGATTTGAATTTTATAAATTTGACTTAATTTGAGAAAAAATTAAAAAAATTTGAGTTATAAAATAATATTTGTCAATACAAAAAATTCAGAATTTTTTAACTTGATGCGATCTATCATTCACCTTTAAGATATAAAATGACCGTTAACTATTTATGTGTTTTAAATTTATATTTTTTCGTTAAAAAGTTTGATGGTAATCTAAGCTAGATGTTAATAGTTGACTGAGATATAATAAAATTTTAATGGAAAATGACGAGTTCAGAACATATGTATAGTCAGATAATCATTTTATAACTTTTAATAGTCGATGAACTCAATAAAGTAACATCCTATAATCATCAAATAATTTTATAATTTGTTAATAATTGAGGGCTCAACAAAATCAAATCTATACTTTACCCTAAAATAAAGTGAGTGAAATGTATATTGTAATAGTCAAATTCAAAGAAAGAAATAAAAGATAATAACTCTAACCCAAAGATGACCAATGAGAATGATGCAATGTATTTCTCATATCTAATCTTTTTATCTTCCATCAACAAATCCAATATTTATGACCCTTAAAAGTTTCCTCACAGTCCAACAAAAACATGGCCTATACTTCTCTAAGAACCCTCCACCACAACCACCACCACCACTGCTCCTCCTTCAAACGCCTCCCCCACCTCCACCTCCCTCCTCCCTCTTCCTCAAACGCCCCTCCACGACCACAAACATCCTTTCCACCACTTCCTCCTCCTCTCTTCCTTCTTCCAACACTTCCAACACCACCACTTCCTCTTTTAGCACCCTCCAACACCACCTTTCAACCCAAAACTTCTGCCAAGCCGACGAAGAGATGCGCCGTCTGCTCATGCTCCTAGCCGGGGAACAAGCTGAGAAACGAGGCTACGTCTTCTTCTTCGAAGTACAAATCATCCCGGATACCGATCTCAAAGCAATCGATGAACCATGGAGAAAATACAGCAACAACAGGTTCGTGTACAGCTTGCAGAAAAAACTCTGGCAGAATGTTAACAAGGACTTCACCAAGTTGTTCTTGAAACTGGGGTGGATGAAAAAACTCAGACACCGAGATCGAACAATACAACTACAGGGCTTTCCCCGATGAGTTCATATGGGAACTCGATGACCAAACACCGGAAGGTCATCTGCCATTGACGAATTCTTTGAGAGGAACTCAGTTGTTTACCTGTATTCTTAGCCATCCAGCTTTTGAGGTTGAAGAAGAAGAAGAAGAAAAAGCTGAAACTGATGAAAATGGAACAAAGCCACTCAGCAACAAGTTTTTGAAGCCAAATTACACTTTTTAACGTAGAAGAAAACGTATATTTTTTCAATGTTTATGTAAAATGCATTGTGAAATTTATATCGGGGTTTTCGATTTATGGATCAACTAATCCGAATCGAGTATTGGAGAGGTAAGAGCAATCTTCTTAACCCAATTTGCTTCATTCATAATGCAAGATTTGAACCCCTAAATTTAATGTCTCAATCCATAAACAAATTTTGATGAATTAATGTTTTACTATTAGGTTAAACTATGAATTTAGCCATCTACTATCACTTTGGTTCTATTTCGGTTAATCAACTATTTTTTTTAAATCATCACTAATGTTAATGTTTGGGTTTCAATTTGGTTATTTTTTATTGAAAAATTAACTATTAATATGATATTTTTTAGAGATGACATGACATTACCTTTTGATGATACGTCATCATCACTATTGATTTTTTAAAATCGAGTGGCTAAAATGAAATCAATATATAATGTTACTGATGATTTTTAAAAAATATAATTGAGTGACTAGAATGAGACTAAAGTGATAATTGTGTAGCAAAATAAGTAATTTACCTTAATATTTATGACATTTGTGATCATTCATGCGAGAATATGACAAAGAGATGCCTGACCTTTTTTGTTGTTTTCTTCTGACTTCTTTTGCTTGTTCGATATTTTGGTGAACTTTTTTTTTTATTTTGAGATTCAAGTAATGAGTTTTAAAATAGGTTTAATATCAAAATAAGTGTCCAAATTATATCGTTTTTCTCAAATATGTGCTTAAACTATTTTTTAACTCATCTAGATATCTAACGTTACAAACGTTATCTATTTAGGTGTCCGAGCTGTCAACGGTGTTAATTTCTCCCGTTAAGTGACACTTGTTACAATATGATATTTTATTTTTTTAAAAAATATTAAAAATATTATGATATTTATAAAAAAAACACTAACTTTTCTTATTTTATAAAACAACCCCAAAATCCCAAATCCTAACCTTAATATGCCGGTGTCACCCTTTCCGGCCACGACCACCACTATCGACATAATTCCTACCATCCTCCTACTCATACGTCATTGTAGTTTCTGTCGATTGGCCATCAGAATCGCGATTTTCATATTAAGGTTTGTGGGGTATAAAACGTTAATTTGTCATCGATCGATCACGATTTCATGGGGATTTTAGTCACCAAGGGGAGGGAAGGTCGAGTGGAACTTTGTCGACGGCCGATGTGTTTAAGGATTGAAATGAAAATTTTCAAAGTTTTGGGTTTATTTCAAAATTGATTTTCTTTTTTTTTTAAAAAAAAATTATAATTATAATTTTAAATTTTAAATATATTTTTAAAATTACCACATTGTGACACGTGTCACTTAATGAAAAAATTAACACCGTTGACAGTCCAAATACCTAAAAGGATAACGTTTCTAACGTTAGGCACCGGTATTAGTAAAAAAATCTAGCACCTATTTGGGAAAAGATGTATAGTTTGGACACTTATTTTTGGTATCTTTCAAGCTTTTATATTTCACCAGCATCAACATTTGTAAATAATTATCTTGATGTATTGCAAGAATGTTTGAACTTAAATCAGTATGTCAATGGCATTTTGCTTTTAATTTATACAACAATGTCAAGACATGCACAACCCTATACATTTCTCTTCTATCGTATTCGTATCTAAACACCGACCATGCAAAAAAATGTCTCCTGAAAGTCCCAAGTCTTCGGGAAGTACCCGGAAAATAAATAGGCCGATCTAAGACACGCTTCATCTATGAAACTGTCCCGGAAATATTCTAACGAGACCACAGCAACAATGCAGTTAACTTCCGACCGTGAAAAAATTCCTAACAATCGATAAGAAAACCTAACTCACCAAAGCTATGCACTAAGCACAGGGGCAAAGTCTCCTGGTATGCCGATGAGAACCATCACAGGACAGCATTGATTGCGTTCGAGTATACAAGCATGCTCCCGGATTCTGAAACATGGGGAATATGTCATTCTCAACCTTTGGTCCTTTAGCATTAAGTTTCTCATTTTATTGATGGGGTTTTTGCATTTCAGTAAACTAAAACCGAGTAGAAAATAATTATTTCGGTTATCAGTTTAGCACAAAGTTCGGCAAATATAAAGTGCGACTAACAACGAAACATACCATATGTTTGGGAGCATCGTCTACAACTTCTGCAGGTTGATCGGCTCCAACACTTGCCAAGCATGCTCCTTTGCAGCTCATATACTTCTGCATACTGTTTACAAAGAATAACTCAAACCTGAATCTAACAACAGAAAAAGCTATTGGAAGTGCAGGAGACATAACATTATAAAATGACTTCAACAACAAATTGTAGGGGAACTCGACCTCCCTGTTTCGACTACACCTATATTCTACTCCTAGATGTTATAAAGGACGAGGGAATGTGTAAAAGCATCGACAAAATTCACCAAATTCAAAATAAAACAGGGATAACCAGATAAGTGTAATAACAGGAAGGATCGTATAGTATACCTAACAGCAATTACAGGTAGATCAACCAAACAGAGAAACAGACTCCGGATAATATTAGCCATGCGCTAAAGCAAATAATGAACAAGGAAACCAAATAATAGAAGAGGAAAGATGGTGAAGAACTTACATATCGCACTGGTTAAGTATCAAAAGCTTATTTAGTACACATGATTTTCCATTTGACTTGCAAACTGAATCACAAGACTCTCCTTGCCTTTGTTCCATGGGACAGAGAAAAAAAGTATTGGTTCAATAGACAGATATTACATGTTTGAATAAATAAACAGAACCGATCATAGTAAAGATAAAGATTCACCTTCCGACAACAACATTAATACCATTTAGTTTGGCTTCTACAGGCGAGACAGTGGACCCTGTTGCAAGTAAAACTCGATCATGTAATTTAATGCTAAATTACTGCTTACTGAATTAAACCAGAAAGAGGGTAGGTTAGAGGAGCAGAATTTAAGAAAGAAGATACAGGGTATTCAAATGAAAATAGCTAAAAAGGAGCCAAAGACATAATATTGATGTTTAAGGATAAAAATTCCAAAATAATAATAATAATAATAATAATGTTCAAGGATAAGTCATGTCTAAACGTACCGGAAGAATTTGATGGCAGAGAAAAGCAATGATGAAAATCACTAACATAGGCATTTTCGTGAACCTGAAACATGAAGTTAATTTAACCTACCTGAATCATAGTATTAAAACATAAAAAATGTCACTAATGAAGAAAATGACACAGGTTATTAAATTAAACAGAAGCCCATATTGCTGTTTGTAACTTATAGGTTATAACATTAGCATTACAGTCTTCACCACCAATGGTTTCCAAGAAATTATACCTAGACAGCTCTTTATTCATTAAAAATTGAAAAGGGGGGGGGGGGAGGATGACCCAGTGCACCATAAATATATTAATATATCTATAGAACATCACTTACAACACTTTCAGAGTTATGTCGACACCTCCCAGCACAAAAATCAAAGACACTTGGATATGTCCCTGTCAAACAGGGGGAAAAAAGGTTATAATGACCTCGCACCTTACAGAGAAACAACATGGTAGCCATAGAATCGTTGAAAGATAAAGTAGCAAAAAAAATTCTAATTGAATACATCTTCAGTAGGGTAACTAGCACATCAAGAAGACAAACTACTCAGGAACAGAAATAGATCACTTAGAATAATATTTTATCACCATATATGATTTTGTGGTCCCATTATAGGCACAATCATCATATTCAAAAGACTATTGCAAGAGGATCTCCATAGGATATTTTTAAGTAGCTATTACAGTGCCAAATAAGCTATCTCACAAACTGATTCTTAGGAAAGGAAGCAAAAGAATTACTTCAAAAAGAGTAATATAATGTATAATCGCCATGACTCATGAGTATGAAAATCCACTTTTGAGGAAGAAAAAAAACCCAGCAAAATTGAGTGGCGTAGGTTTTTTATCACAGAAGATGTCACAGGTTGAAAACAAGCTTCTTATTATTGGATTATGCTGCAATATAAAATGCCATCAACTTATACAACACAGGTATCCGAAATGTTTAGGACAGACTTTCATGCCGTGTGAATCAGCATATACGTCCTTGCAGAAGCAGGAGACTTCATACCATTTCCCATCTTCAGAAGTAAATGAGCAGTTGTGACTAACTAAAACTATAAACTTACCTGATGTCAATGGCTTTGCCATTTTTAGTTTCAGTACTTGTTCCTTCTGTGTCTGCAAAAGAAATTTTGGTGGGAATTTCATTACACCTAAGACGTATACGATAATTATACAAAATAAGGAATGCTAAAAAAAGATACTTGTTCAGGATGTAGGCAGCACGAAACACAAAATTCATAGGAGTTACAACACTTGGAAAGGACATTGCATCCACTGCAAAGGAGAACCGAAGTTGTTACAAGCCACACTAAAGAATCTGTTTAAGCCTGCATCATGGAGACCATAAGAATGGGAAAAAAACTCACTGGCAAGAGAATTTGCCTCCTCTTTCAGGACAGCAACGGGATTGTGGATCCAACGAGAGAGCATCACACACATAGCCTACAATATAAATACCATTGTGAACCTAATCAAACTAAAAGATAAGGTAACAAGCCAGGCTTATTCGATACAATTAAGGTTGTAAATGAGACGAAACAGATCGTGAGTTGCTTGAGATCAAAGCTCAATAAATACTCGACTCGAGCTCGACTCAAGTTCTTAACGAGCCGAAACGAGCTACTTGATACTCTAATCGAAAAGCTAGCGAGCAACTCGAAAGTATAATATATTAAGATTTTATTCTAAAAAATAAATTATTAATAATATTAACGTTTATGTGTTGATTTTTAAAAAAAATGCAATATAAGGCTTTCATGTTGATTTTTTTTTTAAAAATGCAATATAAGGTTTTCATGTATTTAAGGTTCAAGTTCGAGTTTGAGGCTTCAATCGAGTTAAGTTTAAGATTTTTTTTTTCATTTTGAGCTTTAACAAGCTTCAATTCATGGTTTCGAGTTCAAGTCAAGCTTGAAAATTTTAAGCTCACGAGTTTTCGAGCCGAGTCGAGTTCCATTTTAGAGTTTTAGAGTTTTCGTTGAGTCGAGCTCAGCAATACTCGAACTCGACTCAGCTCGTTTACAGCCCTAGATACAATATGTAATACAAAATCCGAAGTCAGAACTAGAATAAGCGTTCCAAACACTCTCAAGTAGTGACAGTACGCAATTACAAGTAACCAGAAATTTGAACGCAAATCAAACAAAGGATCATGAAATTTAACACGTTGGGTCAAACTTGTTCTCCAGTCCATTACACAGCACAAATCACAGGTCTATATCTTCGGTTTTTCAAAGCAGTTCTATAAAGAATCATAATGCCCATGTAGCATACTCAATTTATCATTTTCATCTATATCGTATTTTCTCATCAATTTAGCACTCAATGTTATCCGATTGCCGTTCTATACCTTACCCCTAACTTAATACCCTAAATCATAGACCTTACGTTAGAGTGTTATTAAGGTTTAATATTTAGAGATTATGGGTTATGGTTTAAAATTTAGGGTTTTAATGTAGGGGTATGTATAGAATAATGCAATTGAAAAGAAAAGTTTGCTTTTCTTGAATGACTATGGCAAGAAATCATGTACATAACCCCAGATTTTGCAAGAAAGAAAACAGCTTTCAGTTCTTTTTCATTCAGCTTATCATACACGAATTCCATGAACAAGTAAAAAAAATCAATATCTTACCATTATCATCAGATAACAAATATCTTCCTTGAACTGTTGTTCTGCAAATGCGCCTATCTGGAAAGCCAATCTCCTTCCTACGATTCCATCAATTTAGAAACCCAGAATCAAAACGCAGAAACAAAACTACCGAAAGCTATTTCGACGACAAAAACTCCTAGAAATTACTTTCAGCCAGATAATTTAGATTGTAAAGGACCTGGTAGCAGCAATCGTCGATGACGGTTGAAAAAAGAATTGTATGAGGAAAACCCAGGATACAATCAACCTGGATTTGAATTTCGACATTCTCGTCCTGGATTTTACCACCGATCAACCATTTCTTATCATTCTTCCTCTCTGAGATTCGATGCCCGAGACGACGATGCAAGTTATTCGGTTGAAGGAACAGCCCAACTGCCCCCAAGCCCATCAAAATAGGAACGGGAATTGTCACCAATTTTTTATTGTTATTTTTAATGGTAAAGTACACCGATTATAAAACATTATTTTATTGAGTCCATCGACTACTAAAAGTTATATAATGATTCTCTTATTATAATATATTATTTTGTTGAGTCATTCGACTATCAAAAGTTATAAAATGAACATTCAACTATTTATATATTCTAAATTTGTTCTTTTCTGTTAAAAAATTGACGATAGTCTGAATTAGACGTTAACTTATTGACTGAGATATTCTAAAATTTGATCTCAGAATCTCAAATAACTATCATATTTCAGTGAACATATTCTAAATTTCAACAATTTTTTATTGTTATTTTTAAAGATAAAGTACATAAATGGTCCCCATACTATAAATCGTTGTTGTTTTTAGTCCCTCGACTGCTAAAAATTACATAATGATCATTCGATTATAGGTGTTGCTTTTTTGAGTCCCATGACTATTAAAAGTTACAAAATGGTAACTCGACTATTCATATATTTTAAACTTGTCATTTTCCGTTAAAATATGGACGGCATTCTGAGCTGGATATTAACATACTAACTAAGATATTCTAAAATATGATCTCATAATCTCAAATGATTATCATATTTCAATCAGCATGTTAACGTCTAACTCAGACGACCATCAAATTTTTTTATCGAAAAAGGATGTGTTTGAAATATATGAATAGTTGAGTGACCATTATAGAATTCTCATTTCATAGTTTAGATTATTTGAGATTTGTTAGACATTCAGAAATATTTCATAAACCCTTGATAAGACTATTGATAAAATCGAAAGAATTATCCGCACCAAATTTACTTCCATACGTACAAAGGGTGAGTATATAAACCTTTGTGTCAAGCAAAGAGAAAGGTTTTCTTCCTTTTATCTTTCTTCTTTGTTAGTTCCCTCTCGAATTTGCTCCTTCGTTTATTATTAATATCATCGACTACGACTATTCATCTAAATCATAAAGTTGAACCTTCTACTATCACTGTCACAACATCTTTACTATCATAAATAAGATTCAATCATTGATTCATCTTCGTGTTTATTATTACGGTGGGATTGTTTGATAGTTTTGTGAAGAAAATAATTTTGATTCTCAAACCTAAATATTGTTTTTATTAAAAATATATTAACTTATCTTGGTAATCGGGCATTGAGACTTTTACGAGGTCCACATTATATTTTTCACGTGTCATCATCTTATTAGTGGAATAAATTCATTAAAAAATATCATATCATCCACTAAGACAGACAACCGTTAATCACCTAACGAAACTTGAAGGTTGAGTGACTATTTTATTATCTTTTGTAACGTTAGTGATTGTTTCGTTACTTTTAAAACTTATATTCGGTTACACCAGTTAATCCACCTCGCTAACTGTCTGCTGAACTTGTCTCCAATACCTAACACCGAACCTTTTGCTTTACTTACAAACGGAACGAGTCTTTTGCTAAAGTATTTGGAGAGGGATAGAAATGAATTCAGCTAACAGCAAAAATTATAAGATTTTTTTTTAATTCCATTTTTCTTTTTGCTCCGATCAACAATAACACCACCATGTCGTTCCCGCCGGGAAACCCATGCCGGATTCCGACGACTCTTCCTTTTTCATTTCTTGTCTCTTTGTTATTCGCCGTCGCCAATGGATCCAAGTCACCTTCCTGTAACAATCCTAGCGAAGATGTAATTTCATTTTTTTTCCTTTTTTCTTATAAAATTATCATTAGCATTATAAAAATTAAAGACGAAGAATGAGTTTATTCTATCTTGAAATTGTTATATATATATATATAACAATTCGAGCCAATAAAAGTCACGGAAAAATTGAGAAAAAGAAATATAAATACATCGGAAACAAATTGAGACATGTAGCTACACGATTTTCTTAATAATTGAGTTTAAATCTTGCAGGCCATGGTGAAGATTTGGGTTGATGGTGATGAAGGTGAAGATATAACTGGCTTAACAGCAACCTTTGGAGCCAAATTGCCCAAGGAAAAGGATAAAAGTCCCATATTGGCTGCTTCTTTTTCACATCCCCTAACTGGCTGTTCTAATTCTTCTTCAAAGGTTTTATCTCAATTTCCTGTCTTCTGTTAAAAATTTTCTACTTGCCTCATCGATTAATGTTTATTATTAGGGTAAAGTACATAAATGAACTTATAACTATAGGATGTCGCTTTATTGAATCTTTTGTCTATTAATAGTTACAAAATGATATTTGAATTATAGGACAATGCTTAGTCGAGTCCCTCAACTATTGAAAGTTACCAAATGATCACTCGACTATTCATATGTTCTAAACTTATCATTTTCCGTTAAGAAATTGATAGTCGTCTTAGTAGGAAGTTAACCTGCTGACTAAGATATGATAAATTTTTATTCCAGAACTGTTTGAGTTGTATTTTGTATATCAACTCTCCGTTTACATTATGTCGTAGAACTAGTACTTAAAATATTATGTTGTTAGCCAGTGTTTAAAAGTACCGCTAGTGCTAGTAGGCATCATTAAAATATAATTTTATCATATTTCAGTCAGCAAATTATCGTCCAGCTCAAACGATCGACAATTTTTTTAATGAACAAGACGAGTTTAGAACATATGAATAGTCATGTGACCATTTTGTAACGTTTAATTATCAAGGGACACAAAAAAATAATGTCCTATAATTGAGGGATTGTTTTCTAACTTTTAATAGTCTATTGACTCAACAAAATAATAACTTATAGTCAGGGACTATTTTATAACTTTTAATAATCGAGGGATTCAACAAAGTAACATCCTATAGTTGAGGGATCATTTTTATACTTTAACCTTATTATTATGAGATCATTCATCCTTGTCTGATTTATTTTAACATGCGGAAGTATAGTTCATACCCTCTAAACTTCCCTAAGTTCTGGGAGGACCGTAACATGAAGTTTGGGAAAAAACTTAAAAAGAGTTTGGAGAAAATAATTCTTAGGATAAATTACATGTTTAATATTTAAACTATCTGTTTTGATTCGTTTTAGTACCCAAATTTTTATTTTTTTTAAAATCATATCTAAAATTTAGTAGTACTCCGCCGTTAAAAATTTTACTTATTGTTTCATTTTAGTATCTCGTTCAAAATTTAACGTTAAATTTTGGAAAAAAATTAAAAATTTAGATATTAAAAATAAACTAAAACTGATAATTTATGTACTAAATACATAGTTCATAAGCACGGCACTCTGATGTAAGCCAGACGAAAAATTTTGAAGCATAATTGTCGGAATATTTTTTATTACAGCTAACTGGCTTTGCGGCCTTGTCCAAACGTGGTGATTGTGACTTTGAAACCAAGGCAAAAGTTGCACAGGTAGGAGGTGCTGCTGCCTTGCTGGTGATAAATGACAAAGAAGGTTATAAATTTTGTATTGATGGCGTATGTTATTTCCATTTTAAACTTCTTTTGAAGTTTCTTACATCAACTTTTTTTTAATATTTATCTAGAGACCACACGGATGGAGTGTTCTGGGGAATCTACTCTAAATATTTCGATACCGGTCGTGATGGTTCCAAAATCTGCAGGAGACGACCTTAACAAAACTATGGCAGACAAGCGTGGTAAGCTCTTGAGTCATAGAAATTAGGCCCCTGATAACAAGTATCGAAAAAATCGAATCATAAGAACGAGCAAAACTAAATAAATTTGCTTATAAAAACTTTTACTTAGAAACTAAATCATGCTAACTTGTGATGCAGTTGAAGTCTTATTATATGCACCAACTCGTCCCACGGTGGATGTCTCGGTGGTATTTTTATGGGCAATGGCAGTCGGCACCCTTATAACTGCTTCATTTTGGCAAGAGTTTGGTATTTCTGACCAAATTGACAAACGCTGCAATGAATCATCCTTGAAGGTTTACCACAAGCTAGTGTTTATGAAGTTCATAATTCCATTATGTATATTTACGTGTCTTAGAGGGAATAACTTGTTGCTAATTTATAGCTTAATGCAATTATCCAATTGTTATTTTGATCCAACAGTCTCACTTGGTTTGACGGTATAAAAAATCGACTAAATACTGTAATTTTTAAGTACGAATGGTTAAATTTATTGAATTGTTTTTCTACCAGGAATCAACCAATGCTGGAACATGCAGTGATGATGATAAGGAAACCCTTGTTATTACAGTAAGGGTGCAATAATTTTTATTACATTAGCATCTGTTTTTCTGCTGCTACTCTACTTTTTCATGTCTTCAACCTTTATCTGGGTGCTGATTGTACTCTTCTGCTTCGGTGGTGTTCAGGTAACATAGTTTTGCTTCTAATGTCTTTAATTTTTTCTTTCATTTTATTCTAATATGCTTGTTTGAATCTACCAATGGTCAGACATGACATGTCACATTAAAAACCTTCCATGTTTACTTGTTTCTGCACCATGGAATGAGCAACATCTTGTTAACTCGTGTTGCATTTTTTCTTTCCAGGGGATGCACAATGTCATTATGACTCCTATAACTAGGTATATGCTTGTAGTTTTGATTATCACTCAAATTTTACAAGATCTAGCTTCTTTTTATTTGTGTTTCTAATATAAGTGTACAAGCAGAAAATGCAGGCAGAAGACAGTGAGATTGCCTGTCATTGGGGAGGTCACTATTGTTTCACTTGGGGTTTTTCTACTTTGTATGATATTTGCTATTGTTTGGGCTATTTATCGACAAGCACCTTATGCATGGTTGGGCCAAAATATTCTCGTAAGTCTTTCGTACCACCACGACTATCCCTGAATGAAATATTTTGACTTGTTTGTGTGTTTGAGTATATGAAAGTGTCAGAAGCAATCGTGTAGTAGGTTCTATGACGGAACTGATGTCGGAAGAAGATGAATTGGTCATCGTGCTAGGTTTAGAATTCGAAACCCACTCCGATACCATGTTGAATATGATAAAAACAAATTTGTT